TTCCAGCAAATCCCTCAGGGCGAGGAGGAACAGTCCTCGGTCTTCCTGCTGAACCGGCAGGTCTGACAAAGCCCTCAGATCGCTGATCAAATCCCATCTGCGGACACTCTGCAATCCGATGTCCTGACTGACCACATCGGAAGCACAGACCAGCCATCCTATAACATTGGCCGAAGTGTCGCCGTCCACAGTTCTGGCACACAGGTGCCGAACTGACTGATCCCGAACTCGTCGTACTGGTAACAGTACCAGACGATCCTCCGCTCCTTCTGGAATCTCCAGATCCAGAACCGGAAACAAATCTCCTCTTTCCGGAGGAACCACTGCCAGATGCCTCGCCTCCAAACCTCTTCCTACTCGCAGTCCACCGCTGCTGAGTAGCCATCAAGTCGTTCTCTATCAATCGAGCTCGCTCCACAAGCTCGGAGAAATCAGTAATCCGGAATGGTATCAGGGGCTGCCTCAAGGTATCTCGCAATCCCCTCAGAAATCTGTAACATCTCTCAGCAGAAGTGCTAACCAGCTGCGGAGCGTACCTGGCTAATGCAGTAAACTCAGCCTCGTACTGCATCACCGTCTTGCTCCCCTGAACAAGCCTCAGAAAGTTCTCCTGCATCTGCTGTCGTGCAGAAGGGGGAACAAACCAATCTCGGAATACCTCAGTGAACTCTTCCCAAGTAATCAAAGAGTTCAGTCTGCCCTGAAATCTGGCTGCCTGCTGGCCGTCCCACCAGTGCTCAGCCTCTCCGTCTAACAGAAAAACTGCTAACGGTACCTTCCTGTCTGACGGACACTGCATCCCGTCAAAGGTCTTCTCCACTCTCCTCAGCCACTCTTCAGCAGCTCTGGGCTCAACAGCGCCCTCAAACCTCGGAGGTTTCAACCTCAAAAACAACTGCAAATGTCTATCCAGGTCATCAGATCTGACAGTAGAAGCTCTACTCTGAGTCTCGCTCATCATCTGAGCAACCAGCGAAGCAAACTGAGAAAGCGTATCAGCACCGACCACTGGGGCTGTACTCCCCACTGGTGCTGCCTGATCGGCACTCTGACCATCTGTCATGTCTGGGTCTGGCTGATCCATACAGAAAATCCAGAAAAAATCCGGAAAACTATCACAAAAACAACAAAATAAAAAGCCAAACAAATCAAAATTACCCCCCAGACAGACTTACTGATCACTTCCTATAGCTCTGTTTCACAAAATTCTCAAATTCCAAAACCATTGCTCTGATACCAAAAAAGCTTGTCACGACCCGACCCGAGACGAGACGGATCCCGCCCGTGCTGGATCGCGACGGAGCTGCACTAACCAGGATCTAGCTTTGGAATTTGGTTCGGAACTGAATCTTCCAAATAATTAATTCACACAGACTAACAAACACAGAGCTACTATGTATCATCAAATGCAGCGGAACAAAACATCTATCCGATTTCATTTCCTCAAAACAATCATCTACAGAACAGTACATGGCTTTCGACCGAAAGAAAGACAGAAAAGAAAAGCCATGACTGTACAAAATCAAAAGTACAAAAGTACCTATACTGATCAGACTCTGAACTAATCCTGGACTTCCTTGCCTTTCCCAGAACCTGAAAACCACCAGAAAGCAAGGGTGAGCTCAACAGCTCAGTAAAGCAACAAACCTCCAATCAAAATCCTCAGAATCTCAAAACCAACACAGCAGACAAATCCGTACAGAATTGAAACAGATTCGGACAGATATCAAATCAACAAAACTGTACGGAAATGGAAGTTGTATCAAATCAGAAACATAACAGATCAGACACATCAGATCAACAGAATCAGAATCGTACAGATCATATCGGAACAGAACAAATCATATCAGAATCATATAGCAGATATCAGATATTTAATTAATAGCTAAATTCCCTGACACTGACTGAATCTCATAGGATCCAGGCCACTTATGCCTCCCTTTGTGCTCACGGCACCAAAACAGATCAGATCAGATGTGCTTATAGCACCAGAATACATATATAGTGCATATAGCACCTAAACAGATTGTTTCCTCGGATCCGGAACAGAACAGATATCAGATTTCATATTGAGCTCATTTCAGAATTCCCAGACACTAACTGAATCTCATAGGATCCAGGCCCCTTATAACTCCCTTTATATAGCATATACAGATAGCATATCAATTCAGAAGATTTCTGGACAAAACAGAAATTACTCAAAAATCGGGCAGCACAACGGCAGTATACAGAATTTACACAATTTTCCTGAAAATCAAAATTCACCAAATTCGCACAGAATATAGATATCAACATTTTAGAACATTTATTCTACTGCACAGATAATTTCCAAGTTCACAGAAAAATCCAGTCGACTAAAAACACAGTCGAATCAAAAATACCCGGACAAAAATCTTAAAAAAATAACCAAAATGTGCACACTCGGCACTTCAACAAAATACAGAAAGTTACGCGGTAGAAACTAAACCAGTCGGAAATTACGGACGAAAATCGCGAACAAAACTTAATTCCGGACAGATAATACCGCCAAACTCGACGGTTCTGAAAATTGAGAAAGTCGGATTGTGCCTTACCTTGCGTACAGCAATTTCCTCAACAGTCTCTTCGGACGAAAACAGCTCGGCGTCGCCCGAAAATCCACTTTTCCACTTTTTCCTTCGTTTTTCTCTCTCCTCAACTTTTTCTCTCTCTTCAAAATATCTCATTTCTATATATATCCAGACTGATCGTCCTGGACGATCGAGCTTCGTACCGGACGATCCATGAAGAGAATTATTTCGTCCAGACGAAAATTGAATATCGTCCCCGGCGAAGGGTTCACTGACTTATTTTCGTCCAGACGATCCTGATTTCGTCCAGACGAACCATACAGCCAAACATGATTTTCTCTGCACAACCTGTACCGATCGTCCCGGACGATCCGACTTCGTCCGGACGAACCTGGAGCAAAAACTGATATTACAACATGGCCTGTAAATAGGTGAGAGAACAAGGATAAATGGGGATTGGTCGGATGAACGGACGATGTTGAATCCCTTGATCATGCACCACTCTTTAGACATTTGAAGAACTTAATGATGTTGGAATTTGATGATCTTGGGCTCGTTGGATTCGTCTCGTCGAGCCGCTCAATTCAAGTATAAGCTTGTTATGTTGGAAACCGTTTGGTAATCCAAATTGTGGTTTGAACCTTTCAACAACGCTTTGGGTCATTGATTTGGACGCATTTGGGCTCAGATTGAGTCGAATTTGGTGTCGTTGGGTTCGTATTTCCGAGATGCACAGTTCGATTATAAGTTTGCTGAAATCGGAGTTTGGATGGTTCCAATTTTAATTTCGGAAGTTTCCGACTTGATTTTTGCCTCGAGATTCGTGCCCAATCAAGATAATTTTTTGACCACGTATCAAATCCTAATCAAATTAATGTGATAAATTTTGTCTATATTATAGACTCGTTTGGGATGACTTTTTTTACTATTTAAAGCAATTTTTTAGTACAAAAATTATCAGTAAGAAAATTATTTTAAGAAACAATAAGAAAGCTGCTCCAAACGAAGCCTATGCCTTAGTTATCTAACGGCTCAAACTCTCAATTATAGAAATATTATTAGTTTTGATCTAATTGACTCAAAGTTTTGCCCCTTTAATGTAACTTCTCACGAGAAATTTCACTAATTATTTTAATAGTTGGGGATCTAGCTCTACTTTAAAATTGCACATATTCAAAATCATAAGATTATGATTTTTTTTTCTTTTTATTTTTTCTTATAATTATCTTGTAATACTTATAATCATTTGTTTATTTTAATAGTTAAGAATTTTGCTCTTCTTAAAATGGGCGTATATTCAAAATTATATGATTATAAATATTCTGCTAAATATTTTATAAAATATAAATATTGTAAATTTAGCAGGAGAGACTTTCACTAAAAAAATTCTTCAAAGGAATTTGCAATTGACTTTTCTCTTTGGCCTCCATGATTTTTTAAACAAACTGCAAAAATAAATACTAAATTATTGTTTTATTAATTTGTGTAGCTCGTGGCATATATCATAGTTACAGTAATTAATTAATAAATTAGGTAATTAAAAATTTTATACCTTAATTTAAATGTGAATTATGTGAACATTTTGCATTTTAAAACAATTAGAGGCGACTCTCAAGTCTCACCAACGTGGGCAAATTATTGCGTCCGGTGTCCGGATTCGTCCAGACATCAATCCGGTGTCGCCACGTCACCAAAATACATCGGGACCCAGTGTATTTGGTTAGTGGCGTCACCGGATTGGATGTCCGGACATCCAGTGACTGGATGCAATAATTCGCCCACCACGTGACATATTCAATTGGTTTAGTTTGTAAAAACTTTCGAAGTTTACTGTTAAATTATTTAAATTTTCTATATTAAATTTATATTTCTATGTTCAGCTTAAGAAAAAAAATCAGATTATCTCGACTTTAGAAAAATACCTAACCACATTGCGGTTTTTCAAGTGTCCATATTTGAAATCAGACTCCAATCAAAATATTCAACATCATCTGTTCACAACCAGTGTCACGACATTTATACACAGCCTGCGTATTATACACACCATATATACAAGATTGCACACAAGCTTCGTACAGACGACATGATCTATTTTGATTTGAGTCTGGACGCAAGCAACATTCATACTCCACACAGAATAATTTATTCCATTTTTGAGGATCTATGTAAATATCATAGAATTTTTATATATTTATATTTTAATATTTTATTAATTAATGTAATATAAATGTTTTCGTTATATTTAAAATATCATTAATATTAATTTATTTAAATGTATATATACGTTGATTTCATATAAACAAATAAAGACAATATATAAATAAATATTAAATTTACAAATGCAAAAAAAAATATAGTTTTTTACAGACCAATGTCATGGTCATTCTACAGTCCACACAGTATGGATCAAGTGAAATAATTCATGGCTTATAAATTCACACTTACATTCCTGTATCCGTTGAAGTTCAACCACCCGAGAGAGAGAGAGAGAGAAGGAGAGAGGAGAGAGAGAGATGGCGAGGTTGTTCGGCCTTATGAGGAAGGGGAGCTCCATGCTCCAGAGAAGCTCTGCTTTCTCCGCAGGGCCAGCAATGGAAGTCCAAGAAGTTGCTCCAAGTTTGAAGGATTTTACTGGGACGAAGATCAGGAGAGATGCCACCCAGGCAGGCTCTCTTCCCAATTCATACAGTTTTTCATTTCTTAAATTAGGATTTTTGCTACCTTCGATACTGTTTTGTTCTTGAAAGAAAGTTTCCGACTTTCCCTTCTTTGACAGTAAGCCGGTAAAAGATAAAAATCTTAACTTTACCATCTAACTCTTTCTTTATATATGGATTAAATGTTTCAGCTCATAGGGCGGACGCCCATACTCTACCTGAACAAAGTTTGCGAAGGATGTGAAGCTCAGGTGGCTGCGAAGCTTGAGTTCATGCAACCTTCTTTCAGTGTAAAAGACAGGTTTGTTCTTAAGCTTTTCTTCTCCATGTTGTTAAATGAGGAGGCAATAGTGGCTTATATGGAGTGATATGTGCGGATTAGTTTATGAGTTAAGTGTTTCTGGTTTGATTTAGATCTGTGCGCTCATGTTTTTGAAATCAGGCCGGCTTACGCGATGCTGGAAGATGCAGAGAGAAGAGGATTAATCACTCCAGGGAAGGTCTGTGCTGTCGACTCTGTTTAAATATCCACCAAATTGGAAAAATAAAATGGAGGAAAATTATTTATGCTGGTTGAGTTCTAATCCATGTCTACGGCCTTCAAGAGATAATGTTTATAGAGCAACATCTGGTAATACATATAACGGCTTCGTTTGGGACTTCTAAAACAATTTTTTATTAAAAATTTTCTTAAAAACAACGAAAAAATAATGACAAAAAACTGTCCCAAATGAAGCCGAAGTATTAGGTGTGAATGAGAACTTGAAGTTAGCAGTGATCAATCTTAAAAAATCAAAACCAAATCTCATCAAAGATTTTGATTTCAAAGTGATTAAGGGAAATTAGACTGCACTTCGAACATGAATAGTGGAACCATTGGTGTTCAAATGATATGCAGGTTCTTTAGAACTCTGAACTCGGAGGTTGTGGCCATGTGTTTTAAGTAAAAAAATTTAGGATTCTGGATCTTTTGTAGTGCATATTCAGTTTGAAATTTAAGAGGTCGGGCGGATCCAACCTTAATTTTCATCAGGGGCAAATTTATGAGAAAAAATGTAGATTTGTTTTTCATAAATATGCTTACAACTAAAATTTGTTCCGAGGGTGCTGTCTCTCGACCGTATTTGTTCATCGTTGTACGCTTCGCAAATATGTCGGAGGTCCAAGCGGTCAGGGCCACCTGGCGGAGTTCGGCGGAACAAATTTTGGTTGTAAGGATATTTTTGGATTCTCTTTACTATTTCTCTTTGTATTTGGTTCATCGTTCCCTAACAATAACATCTCTACACAATGTGTTTATTTATGTTGAGACAATTGCCTAAAGATCATAGTATTTTACAACTTTTTAAGGTGGGGCAATTGCCTAAAAACCCTTGTACTAAAGACTATAAAATACATAAACATGGATAAATTACCTAAAGAATCATATAATAATGAATTTTGTTATTTTTTCAGGGGGACAATTGCCCCCCGGCCTTAAGGTGGATCCGCCCATGTCTATGAAAGTAAAGCACCTTTCCAAGTAGATTTTTTTTTTCTCGTCTAAAATAGTAAGCTAAAATTTGCTCAAAATCCTAGTAAATGAAGCAATTTTGAAGGAATGTAACATAAGAGGAGAGGTTTTCTTTTGCTTTTGGTGTAGTAAATGAATTAAGCCCTTCAATATTTCTTGTTGGAAACGCCAAAAAGCAATTTTATTGTCTTCTTACTTGTAATCCTCTTTGTATGTTGCAGACCACATTGATTGAACCCACATCTGGAAATATGGGGATCGGACTGGCATTTATGTCAGCCATGAAAGGTTATAATCTTATACTCACAATGCCATCATATACAAGCATTGAAAGAAGGGTAACAATGAGAGCATTCGGCGCAAATTTAGTTCTCACTGATCCTACTAAGGGAATGGGAGGCACAGTAAAAAAGGCATATGAACTTGCAGAATCTTACCCTGATGCTTTTATGCTCCAACAATTTGAAAATCCGGCAAATGTTAAGGTAATCTTAGATTTTTTTTATCTGCATGGAAAATATCAATTATGTTACTTTTCCAATTTGTAGTGCCTCTATATTAGACAGATTCCTTGTCTATAGTTTTTCTTTTATCTAGAAAAGGAAAGTTTTATTCCTTGGTGCCTTTTATTTTTCAAAGTGATCAATCATATGCTTGTTTTTCTTTTCTTTTCATGCATGATTATTTCAAACACCTATATACCTAGAAGCAGGGGCGGAACCAACCTAAATATTCAGGGCGAGCAAACTTATAAGTAACTGTCGGGGTCGAAGGGGGCAGCGCCCCCTGGCGGGATTCGACCTGCCTAGAAGCAACCAACAGGCGCCTTGAAGCTTAATGTTTTTTTTTTTTTGGAACATTTAGATCAATTGGGGTAAACTCACACACACATCATATACGAAGACTCAAATCCAAGACCTTTTAGTTTGTAGCTAAAGCTCCCAACCAACAGACCAAGGAGAGCTACATCCTGAAGCTTCGTGTGACTTCATTCCTTGCTTTCAATTACCTTGAAGAATGTGGATAATATATATAGAATTTATGATGAAATACTAAAAAAGGCAATGTTTTTAAGCTATCCATTAGATACACACTATTTCATAACAGTCTTCTTATATATGTTGTAGCATGTATTGCTTTAAAAAATTTTAGCTGATTTATATATTATTTAGTAGGAATTAATTCCATACATAGAATATAACCTCTCATATTTTTTCACAGGACTTTTAGCTTAACTTTCATAGTTATTATCCTTGATGCCTAACAAAAAGAATTCCAGATACATTTTGAGACCACTGGTCCTGAAATCTGGGAGGACACGTTGGGCCAAGTGGATATCTTCGTGATGGGAATAGGAAGTGGAGGCACTGTCACTGGTGTTGGAAAATATCTTAAATCTATGAATCCTAACGTAAAGGTAATGCTTCATAGATTCATAAAAATCACTCATCAAAAGCTATATAGATCTTCTCAACTGGGTATTATGGATTGCACCTTATGTCATATCTTTGTGTTTTTTCTAGATATATGGAGTTGAGCCTTCAGAAAGCAATGTTTTAAATGGTGGAAAACCAGGTTAGCATTGATTAAGCATTCCTTAGGGCATCTCCAACCTAAAAACTCGTTTTCCACTAAAAAATGAAGTCATTCTTCTCCAATCGAATGCCATTTATTCTTCTTTGGCGCGCTTTACTCCTCTTTCGCGCGCTTCTTCGGCAAATCCCGCAGTGAGAATTTTTTTGGCGTAGGTGAACAGTGCAATGTCAAAATTGGCGTCAGACTGTTCACCTACCCAAATTTGGGGTGAGATTTGGAGTTCGAATGGAGTAGATGGTGGACGCCATACGGTGGTATGTAGTTCGGTTGGAGATGGTCTTAGCTTGTAGCACCATTACTGAATATTTAAAAAACTTTCACTCTTATTTAAGTTTTAATGCATATTGAAATATCTTTGCGTAGGTCCTCATCAGATCACTGGAAATGGGGTTGGCTTTAAGCCAGATATTTTGGATATGGATGTAATGGAAAAGGTTCTTGAGGTAAGCCATGAATTCACTTGATATAATCTACAAAGTTTATAATAACTTGTTAAGTTTGGCAGCCTAATTAGATGGACTTTTTATTGTGTGCGGACACCGGACGAAGAGAACAGTCCGGTTTTTCTCTGTCTACGCGCAGCTACTATAGACAGAGAGAAAACCGGACAGTTCTCTCCCGTCTGGTATCCGCACACAATAATCTCTCAATTATATGAGCCTGTATAATGTCTTTCTATGTTTTAATCTTCTTTTCTGTTTTTTTTTTTCACTCTCTCTCTCTGTCTCTCTCTGCTTTTGAATAAATTTTCCTCTACAAAACAAACTGATTTTCTTATTGGCAATGTATTCTACAGGTTAGCAGTGATGATTCTGTGAAGATGGCAAGGGAGTTGGCACTTAAGGAGGGCCTTCTGGTAATACATTCAATCTAGTGACTTAAATTAAAGATTGTTCACAAGAACGTTTTTAGTATTTGTATTCAGAACATCTCTGCACCGTAATTATGCTTTGCAGGTTGGAATTTCCTCTGGAGCCAACACAGTTGCAGCTCTTAGGCTTGCAAGAATGCCAGAGAACAAGGGAAAACTTATAGTGGTAAGCTCTCATCTCCTCTGATGATTCCATAGCTTGTAATGGCAATAACTTTCCTAAATTTGATGGTCCTTTGCTTGATGAACTTTATGGTTATGTTGAACAGACTGTTCATCCAAGCTTGGGAGAGAGGTATCTGTCATCAGTTTTATTTGAAGATCTAAAGAAAGAGGCAGAGCTAATGCAACCAGTTCCTGTTGATTAAGCTTAAAAACGCTTCTCTCATGCCAATAAAATGATTATAATGGTATATTGGGCTTTCATTCTTCAATGATTAGTTTTGTAAGAGGAGTTGAAGGCAATTTGCTTCAAGAAAGTTGAGTGGAGTGATTGATTTCTTCTCTTTATGTTCTAGATATGCTAAAAAACACCTTCAGGAAAATCTTCCTTCCAGATCCACCATTTTTTTTTATTAACTCAATTAGCCGCTTTTACTCTCTCTCTCTCTCTCTCTCTCTCCACCTTTTCTATATTTGCATGTATTTTTAGAACGTAAAATTCTTCCAAGCTAAGTCAGTAGAAGATGTCATGGGATCTCCAAAATAAAGAAAAATGTAACTGTTAGGAAATACTTGAAGATCTCGAGGAAAACCTAATGATCTTGACAAAAACAACGAGAACAATGAACCAATCCGAAGGAAACACCGAAAAATTTGTAATTTTTTATTGGAATAATCAACTAACGGAAAGAAAATAACAAGATATAATTGATCATCTATTCGAGAGGAGGATCTATCTCTCCCAAATCTCTAGACGCCATTATAGCCCATAAATCTAAACCTAAGAGGTCTCAAATTTCAGCCAAATTCAAGATGCCATAAATCATAGAAAAATAAATTATTTAATGTATACAATACAAAAGGAAATTCCTAAGCATTCTATGCATTCAAATTTTCCTCATAACTCCCTCAAAAATATTTCCTAAATAACTCTGTTGAAGTGGGCGGATCGTTCAACATGTACATGAGAGGTAGAACTTCCGCCTCTGTTCAACTTGGGTTGGCCCCGTTTGGACAGGTTGGACCGATCCTATTGACCTGTCTAACAGTAACATCTAATATATTTTTTTAATTTAAATTCTTCAAATTATTTTTATAATTTAATTAGTCAAATATTTGAATTTAGAGTAAAGATTTAGCTATATCTTATATATTTTTATAATATAAATGGAATGTATTTGAATTGTTTGGAATTATTTGGATGATTGTAAAACAAAGGCATATGATTTTGTTTTTTAAAATTTTTAAAGTAAAATAAATAAATCCGTCCTCTAAAAAAACCAGCAAATTTTGGCCATTTCGAGTCATGGCTAATTATAAACCACATACATATCCATATAACTTTAATATGTTCGGAATCATTCATAATATCAGGGAATAAATAAAAATAGACTTTTTCTTTTTTTGTGACGAGGAAGTACTGTCTTTAGGCTAGTGAAAACCAGGTCGACCTAGCATGCAATCCACACCAATTTACACGGGCCAACACTTAAGCCTTTCATTGCTTGCCAAGGGATTCGAACGAGAGACCTAGGCTTTGCCTAGTCGGCTCTTCACCACCCGGACAAATAGCGGTGGGTGCCTCTTTTTCGTCCTATGCATCTTAGAATTTGATTGAATAGACGCTTATTGGCATTTTATAGAAAAGATTAAGGAACACCATAGCCTATTAGCCTTTATTAATTTTTTTAAAATTGACATATATACCACATAATTATCTTATATTTATATATCCAATCACTAAATTTTATATTTATTTATACAACATAATTATCATATGTTTATATATACCCTAAACCCTAATCCCCTTTAATAAATAAATAAGATTTTTGAGATGCTTTTATTGAAATACTAATATCAATATTTTTATTTTATTTTTTACAATTTATTTAGTGTTTAAAGCTTTTATTTATTTATTTTGACCTATTAAAAATGTTAAACAAATGGCATACAAGCTTGACTAGCATTAAATTCTATTATAGAGCAAGTAATTAGCAAAGTTTTTATATATTTTTTAGTAATTAGAAAAGGTTATATATATAGCCGTATAGCCCAAGCAACTTGCCGTATGTGGCTACGACGAAGAAAATATTACTAAATACGCCAATCGCGAAGCATTAATTATTAAAAAAAAAGTTATGCTTTTCCATTTATAGCTTAATTTACCCCCAAAAAATTATAGCTTAATCATTTTTTAATTTATTAATATTTAAAAAATAAATAAAGTTGGTTTGTAGCCGTTGCCCCAAATTGAGTTAAAATTTTTAAAAAATAAAATAAGAATTTCATATGATTAAGATTTTCATTTTAGACAACTTTTTTATTATTTTTTAAATTTTCTTTTTAGTATAAATTTTTTTTGAACTAAATAAATTTGTACTAAAATATTGTTTTAGAAAGCAGAAAGAAAGCTGTCTCAAATGAAGCCGGAGTATTTAGGGATCGAGTAGTGTGGCTCATCGGTTGATAGATGGAAAGTCCTTGCAGTTTAACTTGTCAAAAAAAAATTAATGTTTCCTTTGGGGCAATTTTTTTAAGCAAATTTCTCGTAACAAAATTTATGGTTCAAAAATTTTTTTTTTTAAAACTAAAAAACTACTTTAGAAAGCAATCAAAAGCTATCCCAAATAAAACCTAAGTATTTAATATAATTTGAGAAAAAAAAAGAGGATAATAATAAATAAAGTACTCTTATATTAAATTATTTTAAAAATATATTAATTAAATAAATACATATTTAAAAGTTTATTTTAAAAAATATTTGTATATTAATAAAAAAAATCAATTTCAAAATAGTTCCTTAGCTATTTCTATATGATTATTTTAGTCTCAAAATATAATATTGTTTCAATTTAAAATATATTATTTAATACTTTTAATTAGATATTTTATTTAAAAAATTAAACAATTTTTCATAAATTTATATCCAGTGTTTTTGAGCTAATTGTGTTCAAATTTAATTATTCATAAAAAAACTTAAATTGTCAAACTTATACGCAAATATTGCGAAAGAATGAAGACAATCTATGTTCTACGGAATAAGAGAATGGATAGATTTTCCTCCCCGATCGTACGGCGAGGATATTTCCGTTAATATAATTTAATTAACGGGGCAACAATGTAATTTTAAAAAAGTGTAATAAATGCTTTATCGACAATTTAAAAACCTCGGAAGATGGTTCCATTCTCCGGTGCTTCAGTGAGGGTGGTCCAATTCTTCTTTTGTACCTTGGCACGATCACAAGGTAGATAGAATAGAACTCGAATTTGATCCATGCTGTTCTTGTTTTCCAATTGAATTACCTATTCTTAATATAAAAATGAATGCTTTTTCTTCCTTTATTTGATGATTTTTTCAATAATATGAGAGTTTTCTGGTCCATCATCCGATTTATCCACATTTTTCCGTAAAAGACCTTATCTTTCTCTCAATATAGGGTTAAGTTTTCCTTTGCTTGTGGCCGTTTCTTCCGATTTCATGTTTACTTGCTTTGGCGCTGCCGAAATTTAGAGGTGGTTTGAGCTTCTTTCAGAGGTTGGAGGGATCGGTATTGGCTGAATGGCTCGACTGATTCTTCCCAACAAAGGTTCAAGTTTGGCGAAGAGGGGTTTTTTGAGATTGCTGTCGTCATTTAATGTGATTACCCGATCCCCGTTTTTTGGTTTGCCGATTTGTCTTTCTCGCTGAGCCTTTTACTTTTGGACTAACCCCATATATGCCATTTCCGAATCTTTGTTTTTATTTTTTGAGCTCTATTTCAATTTTACAATTTGAATTCTATGGATTTGCGGTTTTGGTCTGCACTTTGCCCATCTTAGTTCCATTTTTATGTTGTTTTAGTTGCAGTCATTAGAACACTATTTGGCTTGAGTAGTCCGGAGTATTTTTAGTTTCTGTGTGAATTTATGATTTTGCTTCAGTTTTCACTGTTATTGTGTTGATTTTTACTCGTTTAAATAGAGTGTTTATATGCGGACAAATGCCATGATTCCTGACTTTGAAAAATATATAGATGTAGTTATGTAAAGGTTTTACAGATGTGTACCGCTTATGCCTCCATTTTTCTATATGCTCTTAGTGTATTATATGGTATGTTTTTTGTGCACGTTTGTCTTAATCCTTATGAGGTGCGTTTATTTCTCTATACTTGTGTGATTTTGAAGAACGTAGAAAATCCTATCTTTTTTGTTGACTGAAATTTTATTTAGATATTATTTGCTTTCATTATGTTTATATTGTTAGCTGTTATTCAGAGCATTAGGTAATGATGCTGCATTCTTTAATCCTACTTAAGTGTGGCAATTGGATCAGAATATCTTAAACTATGGTGTTCTGTTTTTACTCTCCATGCTGTTCTTTGCACTGCTATGTTCAATTATTGTAGAAATTTTTATCACTTTGATTCCTGTCTACCACTCTGTATAGGCTTGGGATAGACAGCATCATTGTACTTTAAGATATCAAGAGAAAAAGATTTTCAGAAATATTTGTCACCTTACCGAAGAGGTAAGATGGAGAAACTCCCATCAACTTCTTATCACTTTGTCAAGTCTCTTTGCATAATAAGGTTTCTTGATGTTATTTTCTTTTTTTTTTTAATGATGATGTTCTTCCTTTTGAGCTTCTCCCTAACGGAATTCTTCTATCTTATTTCTCTCTTTTCTATTGTAGGGTGTGCATAGGAGGAGAACGATATTTTCTTTTCCATCAGTAAGCTATTGAAAACTTCATATAGTCATTATGAATGATGTGTTCTTAATTCTTTAATTAATGGTCTTTTCTCTACCTATAGTTTGTATGGTTGCATGTGTTGATATGTAAAGTTGCAATGTGCAATGATACGGTAGGAATGTTTACAATGGATGTTTATTCTTAAATTGGAAACCATCTTTTTGAATGACATAGTGTATTATTTTCCCCTTATTTTCTTACTTATTTGCATTGCATATTAAACTTTTGTTTCCATTTTAATGAATTTATGTACTCAACATCTTACTAGATATGTTTTTATGTATTGTTTAAGTAGAATGGGTATTGACCCTCACCCCCCTACTTATCCTGTGCCTCTAATTCAGGAAAATAAGGTTCTCTTATTCTTTTTTTTTTCCGAAAAAAAAAAAATGTTACAAAAGCTCTAGCATTAGGCATGAATCTGGCTTGAAACTATTATCCTTAGTCGCTTTAAATAAACCATAAGCATCACTTTAGTTTTTAAACAACAATGAGCCTGAACAAATTTCTATAAAAACATAATAGAAAGATAAAGTCAAACGAACTTAGCAAAATACCATTTGGTGGCAAGCATTAAACCAACAAAAGGCCTAAGGTTTTTTTGGGACAACATTCGGATGTGGTAGCTAGCAGAGAAATGCAAATTTAGTAGTAAAAATGAACATAAATATTAAACCAGAGAGTGAAAGTAGTATTTTATTCGCCTATTCGGCATCTTCCCAAATTTATATCCCATTACTTATGTACTCCTTCTCTGGGATACCTCCTATATGATACGAAAAGTAATAAAAAAAAGTGGATAACAAGCCTTTTTAATATAAAAGTGAATAAAACTGTAAAAGTATTATTGGGGAAAAACAAAATAGGGGAAGTGGAATCGTGTTGTCCCGCAAGTTAATAATGCTCTGCATTAGATCTCACCAGCTTCATAAGAGCTCGCATACGGTGTAAGCATTATCACTAATTCTCTTTAGTATTGGTGCGGGTCCAATTTTTTGGCTGCTTGATTTTTAGTATTTACCCTGTATAAACCCTTCTTTTCAAAGTTGAACTATAACAAGACCACTAGGTTCAAAATCTTTGCATTGTTTATGACTATATACAAGCTTTTTATAATGTTTTTTCGATGCTACAAACTTATCCCAGTCTTCTTCAAGCAAAGTCGTGAATTACTCGGTCTTAGTGTGGCGGCCTCTAGAATCGCCATCTTTCGTCTCAAGTGTTTTTTGGTTATATTATATCTTTGCATAACCAGTGTGGTTGCCAGCACTATTACTCGGACTGTAGCATATACACCGATTCCGGTTTTAAGGGTTTGTACTCTTGGTCAATTTGATAGAGAAACGGAAAAGCTCGGAATTGAGCTCATTCACTTGCGACAATATTCCCGAGTGCGCCGCCCTCAAGTCATCTTGGCTTCGATCATCGTTGATAGTCGCATGCTTACTACCGTTTGCCGTACTTTTCGGCCTCCAAGCTTTGATACCAACCTAACGTGGTAGCTAGTAGGGAAATGCAAATTTAGCAGTAAAAATGAACATAAATAATAAACAAAAGGCAAAAAGAAGTATTTTATTCAGTATCTTTCCGAATTTCTATACCATAACTTAGCACCCCTTAAAATACCTCCTATATGATACTATGACTAACAATACGACCAAACGTGGATAATAAGTATTTTTAATAGAAAAAGGAATAAAGCTGTAAAAGTATTAGTGGAGTAAAACGGAATAGGGGAAGTGCAGGTGTGCTGTCAGACGAGCTAATAATACTCCACATTACATACCCATTGATCAAAGATAGTTGAGCTCAATTGCACAACGTCAGAGATATAAAAGGACCGCAGAAATAAATTGTTCTCATTTTTTTTGTCAATTGAATATGCGAAGGCATTGGATTTAGTTTTTGCTTTTTTATTTTCTAAATTTATTAGGAACTTATTTTCCTGGTTGATATAACTTAACATGGATGTGTTGTTAAACCATTACCACAATTAGACTTGCATGCAGGTCCCAATAAATTTTTATTATCCATGTCTAAGGAATGAAACTAAATATCTCAACAGAAACCAAAGGAAAATGGATTTTTAAATACAGCGTTGCATAATTCCTTCTTGAAGCATTCAATTTTGCGTCTCTCCCTATAATAATAACCCACGTTCTTACCATTATTAAACAGCTGCCCACTTCCCATATTCTGGTATTCCTTTAATTTTTTTAAATTGAAAACAATAGATTGAATTCTTGTATCATAGTTTCAAATTTCATATATAAAATTTGAGAATATCTTCTTGTTAATTTTATGGAAACTTTTTCCCTCTAAGAATCAGTATATATAGATATAGACTGTGTTACTAAAACCATAATATCTGCTTTTGTTTCCTCATATGCGAAAAAGGCCTCTCATCATTTGCTGCGGCTTCATTCTATTTCATTCAACATGGATTATGGGATATTTTATTAGTTTTTGAAAAATTGGGATATTCTTTTATAGCATGCGCTTGCAATGTAATTACCATTTATATCTTCTAGATCTGTTCCCTCGTCCATAGGCAGCTGAACACTGCAATATATTATTCTCACCCATTTCATTGTAAATTTCTTGTTGTATTTCACTTTGTGTTTTCCTTCAGCAGGAATGATATTATTTGTTTGGTGTGTTTTTTAAGTGAATGATTATTTTTGTTCCAGAGTGTAGCCAGTAGAAGGTTTGTTTGTTCAGTAGCTACACAGCCACTTCCTGCAAAGAGTGAAGAATTGAAGATGGTCGCCCCTAAAGAAATATTTTTGAAGGACTATAAGATGCCTGACTATTATTTTGATACGGTATCATACTCAACTCATTTATACTGTGCCTCTATTTTCTTTTCCTATGAATGTTTGGCTAATCGGGTGGCTTTAGAAGCATGTGTACAAGAATCCTCTGTTGGCACAGAGCGGTTTATGTTCCATTTTGTGATATAGATATTTGTTTACAGTCATTACTCTTCTATTGCTACATGCTCAGTACAGTGCTGTTGGTTATTGTTATTTACATTTTAGCATTATTAGTGCTTTTTATGATTGACACCTGTGACTGCTAACTGCCTTTTCAAAGCTAGTGACACGACAAAGTTTGGAAGGTAAAGTTTAGACGAGGTTTGATGCTTTTCTATTTCTTTAATGAATAAGAAATAGCTCAAACAAATGCAGAATGCAAGCTCTTTGCTTGCTTAAATGGCTAGACATCAGAACAAAAAAATATGTTATAATTATAAAACAATCAATAAAATGATATAATATGTAATAAATATGCAGAAATTGTATTAAGCTAGTTAGGAGAAATGGAGAACCCTAACCCTAAACTAAACTAAATTCATCTTGTTATTCCTTTATATATGGTTGTATTAGTTTATATAAAATGCTATCTCGAATGCCGTAACAATTATTGGACAAGTTTATCATGCACAACTTCATGATAATTGTATCATTTTTGCCTTAATCTAGGGTTTTTAAACCCATAAAGACATACTAACCTTGTAATGAGAACAATTCGCAAATTCTGCGATAGAATTAGCACAAAGCACTCCAACGGGTAGGCAGCAAAGTGATAAACCAACATCATTGTGAAACTTGAGCAATGGGACCAAACTCAAACTAGGGCCTTGTAGAGCCGTGAGGGAGACAATCAATAGCAACATAAGAAAGCCATAAGTGTAAAATGATAAAACAATGAAAAATGAAACAAATATACTCATGAATGTTTTAAACCAAAACAAACCAAAAAATAAGTCAGGTTTAATAGAGCTAACAAGGTAGAACAACAAATATAGAAACAACAGATGCTTGTTTAAAAAATTCATTATCTCCTCTTATCTTTCCCAAAATTTTTGATGGGATGATGATGGGAAATTAAGGCAAATTGGAGGAAGTAAAAATGGCAAAATCATTCCAGGAAGATCAGGAACTAAAACATTGCGCAAGCAGAAGCAGTGCAAACCATTAATAACCACACCAGTTGAAGCAAGTTATTAGTGTGGCAAGGAAGAAACAGAGATGCTTTCATTTCAAGCAAAAGCAATTTGGAGGAATGGATGCCGTCACACATTCATTTAATTAAAAAATAATCATTGCTTCTCATTTCTCCAAAGAAAAATTGCAGAAATGTTATTGAATATCATTAGCGGTTTAAGGGAAGGAATCATGATTCATGCTAAGAAATCATTTTTATATCTTATTCTCCAAAAAAATTTGTCAAGGAACTACAATTTTGAGGCAATCAAAAGAAGAAAACAGTGAAACAAAAATCAGTCAAGAAGAAGAAAACATAGAGTTCTAATAGAAAAATGTAATGTGTTACAACAGAGAAATGGATGAATTTCTCAAGCAATTACTGGTGGGAGGGTGGGCCAATGGTTGTGAGAATGAAGGAGAGGGGTTCCTATTGAGAAGTTAGAGCATTGAAAGGGATGAGACTTAGTTGAGGATGGAGAAATGTTCTTGACCAGGAAAGCACTCTTTTTGGCGGCTTTGTAGGGCTTCCTTTCACATTGCTCTATTCCAGGAAAGCACTCTTTTTGGTCATTAACATCTATCAGTTATGTTAATTTTGTGCATTGACTGCAACTACAAGATGGCGTACTGTTTTTCATGTGAGGCTCCAAGATGATTAGGTTTGATTGCATATTACATTTATCGCTTCCTCTGTTAATATGATTTCATGTTTATTCTCCACTATTGTTTTCTCTGTAGTTATACGTTATAGAGCCACTGTTTCTATTTTTATTTCCAAATTTCCAGTTTTGCAACAAGTTCACTTGTTTGCAGAGTTTTGCCCCTAGAAGATGACATGCAGAATATTCTGATGTATTTACTGATACTTCAGGTGGATTTGAAATTCCTACTTGGTGAAGACAAGACACTCGTCTATTCAAAAATTTCTGTGTATCCAAGAACTGAAGGAAAGTGTTTTTTTTTTTTTGACTTTTCAATTTTATAGTAATTCAACCATATTCTTTTCTTGCACCCCTGCCTGAATACAGATGGATTTGATTTATCCGCTAACTCTAATTAAACTCTTCAAGTTTTCTGAAAGATTGCTTTGATGGTTTCAGGCGCATCTGTTCCTTTGGTACTTGATGGTGTTGACATTAAGCTTCTATCCATCAAAGTTGATGGGAAGGAATTGAAGGTATTCTTTTTTGGCCACTTCTTCACCTTTCAGGCTTTTAGCATAATGCCGCTCAACTTATTTTAGGCAATATTTGCAGTATTCTGTCCTACTAAAAGTGGATGCATTATGGACTTTAGATATTAGCAGCTGCTTACCCCATAACTATACAAAGCTACATATGAACAACTTTTATGTAATTCACATCCAAAAGATGTTGGTGTTGACCATATGAATACTCTGTTTTTTTGCAGACTTCTCCATGTCTGTGGCACTCTGTCTCACGAGTCTTGATTATTAAAACCTTTCAGAAATTCCATTGAAAATAATTTGAGAAACAACACTATTGAATTCTCCCTTTTCTTCCTCTCACCAAGTTTCAATATCATGTGCACCCTTTGGTGGAACGAATTGAACTGCCAACCTAGGATGATAGATCTTGACAAATCAATAACCTGCCACATACAGAAAAGCACCTTTTTGATTTAAAATACCAGGTTGACCCTCATTCTTGGGGTTGCTAATCATCTTTGTGGCATGCACGTGATCATGTGCTAAAAAAATGTTTTAGTCAAATATGTTTTAAATTAATGATTTTGAAGGCTCTGATCAAGATTTTGGGGAGTATTGTTAAGAGTTTGTTGATATTGGTGACGAGTATAATGTTCTGCTTGCTGAGAAAAGGTCAAACATATGTTGGAATGCGTGGATGGGGCTTTAGGCACTTTGGAAGTTTGGACTAGGGGTGTAAACATGTCGAGTCGAGTCGAGTTTTGGCCCTTAGTGAGCTTGGCTCATTAGTTGGAAAGCGAGCTCTTCTCATTGTAAACGAGCTCGAGCCGGCTCGCGAGCCATGGGCGGGAATTTCAAAATTTAGGCGGGATTTTTAAAACTTAAGCGGGATTTTTAAAACTTAGTCAAAATTTATAAAAAAGATGAAATGTTTAACATTTAAATAAAATTTAGGTGGTTTTTCTTAAAATTTTTAAATATTTAAATTTAACAAATAAAATAAAATTATTTTAAAAATATTAATATTTATTCGAGCCGGCTCTTGAGCTCAAGCTCGAACTGGAGCTCGAGCTCGTTGCCTGAGCTCGATAAGCTTGGCTCGTGAGCCTATAAATGAGTCGAGCTCGAGCCGGCTCCCCCCCGCTCGCAAACTTACACCCCTAGTTTGGACTTTGGACAGAAGTGCAATACAGCTTTTCCAGTTATTGCAGCAGAAATAAAATTTATCTTTAGGTTTTTCCTCAAAGTTTTAGCAGCGAAAGTGAGTTATACTTGCTTGAAGTCTCATAATTCTTTTTTGTATCAATGCAGTAAAAATCAAGTGATTTCCTTTCAGTGTTTTGTATGACTTCCAATAGGTCGAACTTAAATCCACATCACCCTACAGTTGTCTTCCATGAAGATATCATTGGCAGCAGCTGCTTCTTTTTCAAGAAATATATAAGTTGTATAGTTGCTAATCTGAATCTGGAAAAGCTGTCATTGTCAAAGTAGTCTGCTGATATAATTTAATGATTCAGACTTTTCTGACTTTGGTCATCCATTAAGGAAAACATCCTTTCTAACTAACCTTTCTTAAATCGGGACTATTCCATAGCACAGGGCCCCTTAAATTTGGGTTTCAGGCTTGGAACCTTTACTGTTTTGCTATGATGAGCTCTTCAAGTTACTCAGTACGCTATGTTTTCATTTGTAAGAGAGAATAATTCCATTTGTTTCCTTATGATGTTTTAGAAAGAAGATTATCATTTGGACTCGCGGCATCTGACATTGACGTCCCCACCCACTTCCACTTTCGTTCTGGAAATTGATACGGAGATCTACCCTCAAAGCAATACATCATTAGAGGTAAAGTTTTTTAAATAAATAGTTGGATTTCCTTTTCTTTTCTGTTTAATTGTCCTTATTTGCTATATTTTCTTTCCATGTTTGAAGGGACTTTACAAATCTACTGACAACTTCTGCACACAATGCGAGGCTGAAGGGTTTCGGAAAATCACTTTCTATCAGGTTGGATTACTAGGTGTCTGGTGCTTCTGAAGTGTTTTATCTTCACCAATTCATGCAAAAAAAAAAAATCCCTTATTTTTTACTTCGCAATTCATTTTATTAAGTCTAAGGGCAGTTATTGTTGATGTTATTGCATTAATAGGATCGTCCTGATATAATGGCAAGGTATACCTGTAGAATTGAAGCAGATAAAAGCCTGTATCCCGTATTGCTATCTAATGGAAACCTGATCGAGCAAGGGGGCCTTGAGGTACGTTTCATATTATGTTACACTTGACTGTTCTATGTAGGTGCTTTTACATTGTATTTTTGGGAAAATGTGGACTTTCCATGTAATAGAATTTCTCATAAATCTGAAGGGTGGGAGGCATTATGTAGTCTGGGAAGATCCGTTCAAAAAGCCGTGTTACTTATTTGCACTGGTTGCTGGACAATTAGAAAGCAGAGATGATACATTTGTGACCCAATCTGGAAGAACCGTGTCCTTGAGAATCTGGACACCATCACACGATGTCCCAAAGACAGCCCATGCAATGTATTCTCTTAAAGCGGCTATGAAATGGGATGAGGAAGTGAGTGATTTTGTTTCTTTATGTATTTGTTAGAGTTCTAGAAGCAAATAAATTTTGATTGAAGATTAAAATGTTTTCTACATTCTAACAGGTTTTTGGCCGTGAATATGATCTAGATTTGTTCAATATCGTGGCTGTTCCTGATTTTAACATGTATGTTAAACATATATTAGCTCTGTTCAATTGTTAATTTTTTAAGCATTTTTTTGTATGCTTTCTTTTTTAAATTAAATGTTTTGCAATTGCGCATTTTTTCCATATATTATTCCTCGGAAAAGAATGTAGTGAAAATCTTGCATATGGAGAAAATATGACTACTGTTTTCGAAGGGTTTATGGGAAAATCAAATATTACCAAATCCATTACTTCTTTTTTAAATAAACAAATATTTTTCTCTTATGTGCAAATTAAAGAACAATTATTCATCGAGTTCTCAATCAACAAGTTCATCTACCTCATGTCCTATTACTTCTTTTTTAAATCTCCTGCCAACCGTTTGATAAAACATATGCAATATCCATAAAAATGTTGTCATTTACCTTCAAGAGCAAACATTAGGTGCCAAACCTTTGAGAGATGCTTTTCGTACATAAGCTTGAAACAGAATTGCCTTCTCCCATACCAATGGTGTTAAACCAAGCTGAATGATGATAGCGTGATTCAGGTCCTTATTCTCTACGTCATTTATCTTGTTAATGATCATTAGAAGGATTTAATCATCTTGAATTGCCTTAAACTTGTCATTCAAATGGTTAAACAGTACAGTACCCACAATCCTCGATCAAAATTAAATCCCAATTTCAGAAGTTAATTATATTCATATGTGCGTGCTTTTATAGCACAATTACATAAGCAATAAGATTCTGGACGCTCATCTGATTAAACACCCCAAGGGCAAGCTCTAATATTGCTATTACTTTTAGAAATCCATACCATATTTGATTATTTCAGCAGATAAGTGGAATCCCACACACGTCATTTCCATATTTTGTGCCTTACATTTTAGGCATTTAGCTTCAATGAAATGTATTTTAACACGCCTATGTGGGCTAAATCTAAAGAGCCAATAGCCATTTTCTTAGAGAAATTTGCATCTAAATTCCGGCAAAATATGGTTAGATTTATGATTGAAAAATTAAGCCTCCATTCTAAGCATTTTTCTTTTATTTTTTCTTCTGTTAAAACTGAACCTTTAATTAAGGGAAATGACTGGGGGCAAAAAATGGACAGAAAATGTTCGCTTTACCTTCTCGTTTTTTATTTAGAAGGATTGATAGAGGATGCCTGTTTGTCTGCATGTACCTTTATATGTTTGGATGACATGCCCTTGCCATTTCTTTCATTGATGATTGATTATTCTAACAATTATTCAATGGCATATGTTTTCCTTAACGGAATTTATCTTTATATTTGCAGGGGTGCCATGGAGAACAAGAGCCTTAATGTAAGTTTAGTGTGCCTCTAAGCTATTTTAATTTTGAATTTTTCTGGTTCAGTTATTCTTGTTCTCTTTTGAATGGCTTGTTTGAATCCATAAAAATGTACATCATAGATTTTCAATTCCAAGCTTGTTTTGGCATCTCCTGAAACCGCTACTGATGCCGACTATGCTGCAATTTTGGGTGTAATTGGTCATGAGGTAACCCTTCTCTATCAATTTTATCTGTGTTATCTCAATCTCATATGGTTAATTTCTTGATCTGTTCATCTTTATATGCAGTATTTCCACAACTGGACTGGCAACAGGTATCTTCTTCTTGACTTCGACATCTTGATAATGATTTGTTTAAATCTCACTTTTTTTTCTATTTTATTTTCTTATTGTTGAGTAAATATATATTTTTGCCTGAATGCTAGTATTGGCGCATGACATTACTGATTTGCTATTTGGAGAAAATGTTCTTGAAATTTTATTTCTGTATTTAAAATTTGAATTATGTTTGTACATAAAAGACTATGCTTGCATGTTCAAGTTAGTTTGGGTCCCCATATGCAAAGCCCTAAAGTATCCTTTCAAAATTAATTTTTTTTATCCAGAGTGACATGCCGAGATTGGTTCCAGTTGAGTCTTAAAGAAGGGCTCACCGTCTTCAGGGATCAGGTTATAAGCTCTTCATGTTCTTGGCTATTCATTTGTATGTTGTTTCACAAGTTGGATGCTTCAAGTCATAGACCTCATGACGTTGCAGGAGTTTTCATCTGACATGGGTAGCCGCACTGTCAAGCGAATAGCTGATGTATCGAGACTGCGGAGCTACCAATTTCCCCAGGTTGGTATTACTATTCGGTGTGTATATTCTCTATGGAATGCAAAAGCTACCTAGTTTAGTGAAATCTGGTGTGTGGTTTTCCGAACAATCTTTCAAAGCTTTGTTGTTGGATTGGTCTGAATTGCTTCCTAGATTCATTGATTAAAGTACAAGGCTCAACCAACGTCAATCCAATACCAGAGTTATAAAAGGAAAATAGATGAGAGAGAATAAAAAAATTGATTGGCAATGAGAATTTTCCATTTGAAGTAGTGCTTTCTCCTATTTTTGAAATTTAGAAATTTAGAAACAGAAGTAAAAAATGATCTAATTCTAGAATTTTAAACTTGAGCTAATGAACACTCCAGATATTGGTGAACTAATAAAGTATTTTCACATCATTTTTAAAAAAGTAATATTAGAACTTGAAGAGATTATTAATATAATCTTTTAAAATTTTGTCCTTTTATTGACATATTTGATTTTTATATCAAAAGTACGACTTGAATTTCTCATGTTTACATTTAATATATATGCATGGTAAAAGAATGTAGATGAGAGTGGAAATTAAAAAGCCGATAGGGTTTGAGATGGCTCCAATTGAAATAGCGTTATCTCTTTTTTGATGTTAATAATTTTAAAAGCTGAAACATCTCATCAAAAAATTGAAAATAGAGCCTAAGAATAGGTGTGGTGGAATTAATGAAGTCTTTTCAAGTCTTTTTTAATAGAGTGTGATAAAAGTTGAAAAAATCTTTATTAAAGTCTTTGTAAAATTTTTCTCCCTTGATATAATTGCCTTTTGATTAAAAAAACACCATATATACATTTAATACTTTGTATATATATAAATAGTAAAAGAGAGTAGATGACAGTGAAAATGAAAAAAGTGGATTGGCGTCCTCCATTTTCAAATGGTATTATTTCATCTTTATAATATCATTTCATCTTCTTAAGAAGAAAAAGAGAAACAATTGAACAAAATGCAAAAGAAGAGGCATAATATTTTTAAAACTTCTGCATTATGGGTTCTATATGAATGAGATGTATATCAAGATTTACCATAAAAGTATCTCGAATACCTTATTGAACTATTACTCCACAAGATCACTGCAGGGGCATATATTATGGTTAAGGATATATTTTTTTAGCCTCTGCATCATGGGGTTTCTTGCTTGTATTATATCCTAAGCCACAACAAAAGAAAGTATTCTCTGAAATTAATTAATTAATTTCATATAATGGATGATAGGATAAACGTTAATTATTATTTTAAATTTAAAATAATAATAATTTTACTTCTCACAAGCATTGCATGAGGCTACCTAATGGGAGAAAGATCTATATTTTTAAAATCCTAATGTAAAGAGTGAGCTCCATTTTAAAAGAGTTATCTTCCTCTTAAAAAATAAAAAATCATCTAAAGTTTCAAATTGGATGGTTTCTCTTTCATTGTAATAAAATTTGTAACTTTTTCTATGATAATCATAAATGCTAAATAACATAAATAAATAAATATATCAGATTAATTTTAATTTTAAATATTCTTTGGTTATTTACCATCTTGTTATCATTATTATCAAAAGTTTGTCAATACTCATAACAATTAGCATTTAAGGATTGTTTGGTTTATAATCAATTAAGGTAAATTAAAAGAACCTAGATAACATTTTCTCTTATTTAATTATTCAACTGTTAAAAGAAAAATTATATTTGATTTAAATCTAATATATGTTGAGAGTTCTCTCTCAAAAAATGAAATCCTCTCATATATTTAATTTTTTTATTGAGAATATAAATAATTGTTTTGTTTTATCTCTAAAAAGTAATTCCGTGCATTTGATAAGAGAATAATTTGTATTTTTCGAAATTATTCTATAAAACCTAATTATAAAATTTTTATCTCCCTGTGAATTGAATGGGTGCTTTCTTGATTCTATTATTTATTTACTTGATGGAATGAATTTGCTCTTGCTAAATATTAAAATGTGCAGGTGTGTTGCTAGATTTATGGCATTAATTTTAGCATTTGGATCTGTTCCCACTCTATTATATCCTTTTTCCTCTGATCTAAATAACTGAGTTTTTGTTTTAATTACTGGTAAAATACCAACCTATAATGTTTGTAATGTATTTTATATTTGACAGGATGCTGGTCCTATGGCTCATCCTGTTCGTCCTCATTCTTATATAAAGGTACTCATTTCAAAAATCCCAGGAATTATTTTTTTGAGTTTCGTTTTGTTTGAAGTTCTTCTTTTAAACGATGTTGGACCTGATGATGCACTTGTTTTTTTACTTTTTTCTGACAGATGGACAATTTTTATACTGGTAAGTATTGTGTTCATTCTTTTAATTGTGCTCAACAAGCTATATTTGCACCCTAATGATTTTTGTCACTTTCATTCCTTTTTGAACTTGGATGGCTCGTGTTTTTGCATGCCCTATGGTACTGCATATGACAGTCACGGTACTTTTTTGCCTCATTTTTTTCCTTTATTAAGTTTATGATGACATCTTATTGAAGCATTTTTGTTATAATAAACGTTCGGTACATTGTGATGCTTGGCTGGTATGATGCCCCGCTCGCAGGTGTATGAGAAGGTTAGAATTAGTCTAGCAGCTTTTATTAACCTCCATATTTCGGAAAAGGGCTTCTGTTTTTAGAGTCGATCTAAGCTTATGTTCTTGATGACAGGGCGCCGAAGTTGTTAGAATGTACAAAACTTTGCTTGGGAGTTCTGGCTTCAGAAAAGTAAGAATGGATTTCCTTTGTTAAAAATCCCCTTCTGCAAGGATTTTTTCATAGTAATTAGACCACTCTTGTATTTTAGATGGTTAGATAAGATTTTGTGCTTCAACTTAAGAATCCATCATCTATATTGTTGATTGCATGAGCATATTTGTAATACTCATTATTGACATTGATGGACAAGGTTTTCATTATTATATCTAATTAACGAGACTAAAGTACTATAAGATACTTGCATTGTGAAATTTGAAATTTAATTTTTTTTTTCCTTCCAATTAACAGGGCATGGATCTTTATTTTGAAAGGCATGATGGCCAAGCGGTTACTTGTGAAGAATTTTTTGCCTCCATGAGAGATGCAAATGATGCAGATTTTTCAAATTTCTTATTATGGTATATGGTGATTGCACCAAATTCTGATGCTTATTAATTTTATGTCTCTGACAATCATCTAACTGAATATACAATATTCAGGTACTCACAAGCAGGCACTCCTCAAGTTAGAGTCTCATCATCTTACAATCCTGATGCCAGAACTTATTCTTTGAAGTTTAGGTAACATGCATTTGTTATGCATTACCACTAATCTACAAATTGAGGGCTTATTGACTCAACTTTTAGTTTAAGTTTAATTTTTTCAAATTTTGTTGGCATGGTTTGAATCCTCATCTCTCAAGGGATGGAAATTTGATATGAAACACTTGTAGAATTCAAGTTAATCCTAGCAAGAAAGACAAAAACAGCCAGAAAACTCTTCCAAACTCCAATGAAACCCATAAAACAGTAATTTTATTGCTAGAATCAAATAGATAGGAAGAAAAACAACAAGATACAAGTGATCCTCTATTCGAGAGGAGGATCAATCTCTAGACGAATCTATAGCCCAAAATCTAAACTTAAGAGATCCCAAAATCAGCCAAATTCAAGATGCCCTAACACTAGGAAAACAAAATATTTAATGCATACAAATCAAAAGGAAATCCCTAAACAGTTCCTACATTCAAATTCCCCTATCAAATCCCTCAAAAATCCTTCCTAAAATGCATCGTTTGCTTCGGCGGCTCACGCGGCACCTGCAAGAGGCGGAAGAGTTCCGCCTTCGTTTCATGAGCTAGTCCAGTATGGACCGGCTGGACTGGTCTAACAAAATTCTTATCGTTATGCTTTGTTGTTATTGAGTGGATTTGTGAAATTCTTGAGGAGATCTCAATTAGAGTAGGCTGGTTGGGGTCTAACTACTATGCATTGATTTGCACTGCCTAGTCATTCTAATATATTTCATGGAACTGCAGAGCTAACCATCTTGTGTTCATTGCCAGCCAAGAAGTTCCAGCTACACCTGGCCAACCTGTGAAAGAACCTATGTTTATACCTGTTGCCGTAGGACTTCTGGATTCAAATGGGATGGACTTACCTCTCTCCACTGTTTATCATGATGGATTGCTACAATCAGTTTCCAGCAATGGCCAACCAGTCTTCACAACTGTGCTAAGAGTCATAAAGGTTAGTTGTGCGTACTGCCTACAATAATATAGGCCATACGCCTGCTTATTAATGTTACTTTTTCTAATTACAATAACTATGCATTTCCAAGATGCATAAAACTGAGTCGTAGGGCTCTTATAGTGTTGCTATGGCCTGCTGTGTCTAGTTCCTTAATGCTCCTAAAATTAGGACACTTGAAAATTTAGTTGACCAACTTCAGATCAATAAGAGCAAAATGCGCTTATTTTTTCAATTTTTCTTGCTTGCAAATAGATAAATGTTGGTGGTGAATCCCCACCATCTGCATGGATAACTTAGCAATCATTTTCTCACGTCTCTATCTTCATCTCGCAGAAGGAAGAAGAGTTCATATTCTCTGATATATTTGAGAGGCCAATACCTTCTCTTCTTCGTGGTTACAGCGCTCCTATTCGTCTTGATTCAGATCTTACAGATAGCGACCAATTTTTCCTACTTGCAAATGACTCTGATGAGTTCAACAGGTATTTATGAAAAAATGTCTCATAGTTTCAACCTACACTTTTATTGAACAGTTGTAGTTCATAACTCCAACTTTATTTATTTATCATTTGTATTCATATTTCAGGTGGGAAGCCGGCCAGATATTGGCAAGGAAATTGATGCTTAGTCTTGTAGCTGATCTACAACAGAATAAATCTTTGGTTCTGAATCCAAAGTTTATGGATGGAATCAGGAGCATACTATGCGATTCTAGTTTGGATAAAGTATTTATTTGATAGTCTTGCTAATTCTTTCTCTGTTTGACTTGTTGTAAATTGCTCTGTCAAACTTACCACTTAAGATATTTTCCTGAATTAGGAATTTGTTTCAAGGGCAATTACTTTACCCGGTGAAGGGGAAATTATGGATTTGATGGAAGTTGCAGATCCTGATGCTGTTCATGCTGTTCGCTCTTTTATTACAAAACAGCTTGCACTTCATCTAAAAGCAGAGTTTTTGTCAACTGTGAGTTTTTTTATCTTCAACTCAGTTTCGGTCAACTGATTATTATGGAACCTATAATACCATTGTGATATCTACTAGAATATGCAATGAAAGAATGCTGCTTTACTATTGTTTCAGTTTTGTTGATGCATTAATAAATAACCATCGTGTTAATGAAGGGGTAGCCTGTATTTTTTTTTTTTTAACACTATATTTGTTTATTTACTAAATTCTTAGTATGTAATTTTTTCAAACGTTTTAATTTATATATTATATTCCATTTTATTTGTTTTCGTTTATATTATTCCTTCTATATTGGATATTTCATCTATAATGTTTTTGAAATGTTGGATGTTATGTTGCTTTATGTCTAATTTAGTAATATATTAATTTTATTAAAGAACTGTCTTTTGATTGATTTAATAATAGTATTAATTGATATATGAAAAATATCATTGTTCAACGATACTATTTGCCTAAGGCCTCGTTTGTTTCGGGATTTTTTTTTTCTTTTCTGTTTAGAAACGGAGAAATTATTCTTTGGTCGTTGTTTGGATGAGATGCTTCTATAGAAATGCTTTTTAGGGAACTTTATTTTTCTATTATTTTGAAAAGCTTTTTGATATATGCTTCTCTGTTAGAAAACTTCATTCCCTTAAACATTGTTTCTAAAAATATTTTTTACAAAAGGAGAGGAAAAACCAAACGAAGCCTAAGACTAATACTATTTTGGCTTAGTAGAGTAACCCCAGACAACATGCAATTCTTCTTTTCTGCCCCAGACAGCAACATGCATATCTTCTTTTCTGTTTATACAACCAAAAACGTGTCTTTCTTAAGGAATAAGCCAGCAAAAGAAGCAATGGCAAAATGAACGATGCCTAAGAGTATCTTAATTTTATACAGCATTGTTGCACCTTATAAAATGCTTTTCAGGAACTTACGCAACGTCAGCTCCTCATTTTCACTTCTTACCCGCATAAAAACTTCTTGATAATGGTCAATGTGTTGGCTTGCGATTAAGAAGTAAAGGTTGATTTAGGCTTCGGTTAGGACGGCTTTTTTATTGCTTCTTAAAACAGCTTTTGAATAATTTTTGTACTCGAAAGCTATTTTAAGAAGCGGGAAGAAAGCCGTCCCAAACAAAGCTTTAATTTTATTGAATAGAACGTGGAATAAAAAGCAGTAGAGTTATGTTCCTTTTTTGTAGCTGCATATTCTTTTGCATTATTGGTGCCTTTTAAAACTGGAGTGATAAATACTTCCCTTCACATTTGATTATCATATTTCTATTTTCATTCAAGTTAATTTTGTATTCATTGAGGTCATACCGCACTTGATAATTAGCTTTATGATGACTCGTTGCATTTCAACTTCTCCCCTCCATTTTTCATCTTTTGTTCTATATTTTAATACTCGTCTTCTATGGTACTCATAATGAAATTTTAGAACTTGCATGGAACATAAATCCCACATTTGTACATATCATTTTAGCATATTATTGGCAATTATTTTATCCTTTGAGCTTATAATATGGGTCATGTCCGCTTGAACGGTCAGCGTTGCTAATTTGGATTCTGAAAAACTAAGAACTCTGGGCTTATTAAACCTTTTCAATTTGATGGTTTGAACTAGAACTATATTTTTCAACAGGTCATAAACAACAAAAGCTCAGAGGCTTACGTTTTCAACCATGAGAATATGTCTCGACGTGCTTTAAAGAACACTGCTCTTGGTATTGCTCATTCGCATTATATAGTTAAGGCTTCGTTTTGGACGACTTTCTTATTGCTTCTTAAAGCATCTTTTCAATACAAAATTTTTAATTTTTGTACTAAAAAGTTGTTTTAGGAAGCAGTAAGAAAGCCGTCCCAAACGAAGCCTAAGGCTATTATATAAAGCATATATATGAAGGATATTAAACTTGGTCACACTTCATCCATTTTCCTTGTACAGCCTACCTGGCAACATTGAATGATCCGGAGCTCACCAATCTTTTAGTCCATGAATATAATACTGCCACAAACATGACCGAACAGTTTGCAGCTTTGGCAGCTATAGCTAAGAATCCTGGTCAAGTCCGTGATGATGTTCTTGCTGATTTTTATAACAAGTGGTCTCATGATTTCTTGGTAAGATTTTCCTGTGGCCTATTGATAAGTAGAACATTTCTTCATTCCTCTCTCCCTTAGCATGTTTGCATTGTGTTTTTGTCTTACTTTCCCTCTTCAAAATAATTAAACATTCATAAAGAACTAGATCTGTTACACTTCTTACTCGTATTATCAGGTAGTGAACAAATGGTTTGCTCTTCAAGCTTTGTCAGACATCCCTGGAAATGTGGATAATGTTCAGAACTTGTTGAGTCATCCAGCCTTTGACCTTCGAAATCCGAACAAGGTCATAAGATGTCCTTCCGTCTATTATATGCTCAAATCTAATCATTTTACTGGCACAACATTCAATTAGTCTCTTTGATTCAAATCTGACATAATTGGATCTGTTTTTCTTATTTTCGACCTTAGGTTTACTCTTTAATAGGTGGATTTTGTGGATCTCCTGTGAATTTTCATGCAAAAGATGGATCAGGTTACAAATTTTTGGGTAACATTGTGTTGCAACTGGATAAATTGAACCCTCAGGTGAATTTTTGTTTGCAAACTATTGGATATTTCCATAGAATATTTATGGCATTATAGATAAAGACTGCTTCTGATTTTTTCCTTGCTTCTTTTGAACTTAGGTGGCATCCCGCATGGTGTCAGCCTTCTCAAGGTGGAGGCGCTATGATGAGGGCAGGCAAGCTCTGGCTAAGGTAAATATCATTACTGCACCCCTAATCTGTAAGAGTTTTCGAAGCCAATTTTAGTTGAAGCTTATCTTAGTCTGAATTGAAATTTCATTTACTAATCTTGCAATTCATGTCTTCGAACAAGCTTAACTGCCTTTTAAAAGCTAGAGTGATTGAAAGTTGTTGAACGGAAGTTTCAAAAGTGAATTTCATTGATGTTTGTTTTGCATGAACTTGCTTCTTTCAAACTCAATTCCCATATTTATTTGGGGGATTAATTTTCATCGGAGGAAAAAAAAAAAAAAGCATAAAACCATACATAAAATGCTAAATGAAGACCTTCCATATTTATATTGCTAAACTCCCAACCGAATTCAATCGATTACATGTAAATCAAAAGAAAATTTAGATACCAGCATAAAACTCTCATGACAATCAATTAGTTCCTCATTCCTGGATTTCCTCTTCCTTCAAGCTGTCTCCGACAAAGGCATCCAATTTAGACTCGGGAACAGATTGAGGTGTTGCAAATTAAGTATTTGTTTGGGAAGGCTTTCTTATTGCTTCTTAAAACAGTTTTCTAGCACAAACATTTTAATTTTTGCTAAGAAAGTTATCCCAAATGATGCCTAAATTTCATAACAAACTCTAATTCATCTAAATTATTATATTCATCTTCTAGAACATTCACTACTTGGCTTCCGAATAGAAAACAGGGATTAGTGATATGAGTTTTAATGAGTCAAAACTAAGTTACTCGATCTTATAATCAATTTGGCTTTAAAACTTATTGGGCAATGATCTTAAACAACTTTTTTATCATTACAAGCAAACCTTATCAGGTTGTGACTACCATAAACTTAAAAAAGAAGAGAAATCATTGAAGCTTTTGCATAAAGCCACCTGTTCTTGCCTAAAAGGGCCATTGTTAACTATTATGCAATTTCTTATCTGGTCAGCTATTAGTACTTTTTATTTGATCAAATGACATGTTTAACATGAATTGCAGGCACAACTGGAGAAGATAATGTCTGCTAATGGCTTATCAGAGAACGTTTATGAGATTGCATCCAAGAGCTTGGCAGCTTAAGCACCTGAGGAAATTTTTAAAAGCTCCTCTCCCTGAAGTTCAGTCCAGTCTGAGGACAAGAACACTGGAGTAATGTTTATGTGAATTATTATCTATAAAGTTGCAAGTATCAGTCATAAATAACATATATGTTGTGGTGAAAAATGAAGCTTCATGTTTGTTATTTTGTTTATATGTTTTTCATCAAGATGTTTAAATCTCTACTGTGTTAAATCTCCCATCTTTGTGAACCTGCTCTTGTTCAAATATATGGTAAAGTAAATGTTGGAAAGTTTGAATTCTGGGCTGAGTTTATTTGTTCTTGTCTTGTTTTTGGCATTTTGGAAAGTTCTTGGTAACATTTTGGAGATGTGGTACTGTGCATGGTCAGAAGAAGGTTGGTCATGAGGTCATTCATCACCTTATAATGCCAATGCTTTAAAATTCGTGCACAGTAAATTTTGTTGAGCAAATGAAGAATTGTTTAGTTTTGTATATTTCATTTTCAGGTTTTAATAAAAATTTATAAAATACAGATTTATCATAACTCCATTCTAATTGTATAATAATTTTTAATAATGAAATGAAAATTATAAATTATAAGACAATATCATCAACATCTACATATAAATTTCAGGTTTTTTTTTTCTCTATCTGTCATGATTTTTTTAACATGCATGCAAGTTTAACTTTCATCAATGCTTAACAAAAATTTATGATTTAAAATAGGCACTAATAATATATCTAATTCAATATAATATACATATAGAATTATCTACACTAGATTAATTATTTTAGTGTATGGATCGAGCTTAATTATATTTTTGATAGCATTTGATTATTTATTAATTATACTCAATTATAATCTTATTCAATTTTCTCAAAATAAAAAAAAAAAATATTTTATTTAAAATAAATGTATTTTGTGCTTATAAGATTTTTTTTTTGAGATTCCTTGTTTTATTGAGTAGTTTAAATAAATGTAAAACAAATATACATAAATGTTTATATGTCTTTAATAAGCTTGAATTTTTATTACATAATCATTTTTTCTTATTATAAACAATTACATTATGTATGAATGAATAAATAAAATGAATACATTTATTTTATGATGGCTTCCTATTTAGATTTCATGATGCATTTTCCACATTATCTATTTAGATGTTTACCTTCTAGGTTATTATTTTTTAATTTTCACAAAGTTAATTTGGGTTAATATTTTCAATTATCGGGACAATTTTGCATGAAACACCTTTAAAAATTATGTATTCGATAGCACTATTTTCTAATATTATGAATAATTTTTTTCTTACATATCACCATGTGCTTATTTTAATTATCTTCTTGTAACAAGCTGATGTAGATACCTGCAAGAAGATGGAAACACATAGAAACAAGCAAGCAAAAACAGAGAACCAAGTTTTGTATTGAGAGATAATATCAAAAACTGCCTTCTCCAAGAGACCTCCTGCGGGTTATAAGTCTCTCACGCTCCCTATACTGTAAATGGCATAAAGCTAAAAAGCTGAAAGGTGTACTAAGTAACTAACTATAGTACTAAGGTAGTGAAGATTCCACATTCTAACTAGAATAAAATGGTAAGTTACTCCTCCAGGTCACATATAAACTAGGATGCTTCGCATCATTCGCCCCCGCTAAGAAAATTGTCTGGACTTGCTGGATCCAGACGTGTGTTGCTATCATCCGGTGGTATATATACATAAATATCAGCAACATTGAAAGTATGTGAAGTATTGAACTCCTCCGGTAAATCGACAACATATGCATTGTCGTTTATCTTCTTACTAATGGGGAAGGGACCCCATTTCCGCTTGCCAAGTTTAGAATATCCGCCGGCGGGAAGCCGTTCCTTGCGAAGGCGAACAAAAACCAGATCACCGAGATTGAATAGCTTCTCCCGTCTATGGCTATCTGCATCAAGCTTGTACTTATCATTTGAAGCTTGCAGCTTCATTCGCACATCAGATAAAATTTCTGTGTATTGGTCAGCTAGTACAGATGCGGCTTTGCTCTTGCATTTCGGAATCACTGCAATATCAAGAATCGTATTCGGCATTTTAGTATAAACAATACTGAATGGGCACATACTGGTTGATCGATTCGGCATCGAATTGAATGTAAACTCTGCTTGGCCGAGCAAATCATCCCACAGCTTGGGATGATCCTGTACTATGCAGCATAATAGGTTTCCAAGTGAGCGATTTACCACTTTCGTCTGTCCGTCCGTTTGCGAATGGTACGACGAACTCAATTGAATTTGAGTGTTCAACCGCTTCCATAGTTCCCTCCAAAAGTGGCTAATAAACTTGACATCGTGATCTGACGTAAGGCTTCTAGGAATTCCGTGCAGCCGAACAATTTCCTTAAAAAAAAGCCTTGCAATGTTGAGAGCATCGAATGTCTTTTTACAAGCTACGAAGTGTGCCATTTCAGAGAAGCGGTCCACAACTACCATTATGGAGTCATTGCCTCTGCTTGATCGTGGTAATCCCAACACGAATTCTAAGCTTAAGTCTTCCCAAATTGAATCCGGCACCGGCACCGACAACGGTTGATACAACCCCGTGTTCTGTCCGCCTCCATTATAGCTCTGGCAAACCGAGCACCTCTCAACAAACTTGATTACATCTTTTCTCAAATGAGGCCAAAAAAATTGACGTTGGAGTTGGGAGATAGTATTATCTCTGCCCAGGTGTGCCGCTAAACCTCCAGAATGGGTTTCTTTGATAATTCTCTGCCTCCGGGAGCTGTCCGGAATACACAATAAATTGCCTTTGAATAAAAACCCATGGCATACCGAGTAATCAGCCAACGGTTGCTGCTCAAGCATTAGTGCCAAATTTTTTGGAAATACTCATCCGTGGCATATAATTCCTTTAGGCATTCTAAGCCCGTTAGCTCGGTTTGAAGTTGGGTAATAAGAGCAGCACTTCTACTCAAGGCATCGACGACACGATTTTGTGTTTCGCTTTTGTGTTTTAACACAAAAGTAAATTTATGCAAGAAAATAATCCAACGAGCGTGCATCCGGTTAATATTTTTTCGAGTGTTTATGTATTGAAGAGCTTTATGGTCACTGCATAAGACAAAATCCCGATGTAATAAATAGTGCTCCCATTGCTTCAAAGCTCTAATGACGGAGTACAACTCCTGTTCATACACTGTCCATTTTTGTCTTGACGGGCAAAGTTTTTTCGCTGAGAAACTCAACTGGCTTGTTGTCTTGAGATAACACCGCACCCATTCCCACGGTGGAGGCATCCGTATCGACGGAAAATGGTTTGTCAAAGTCAGGTAGAACTAAAACTGGCACAATAGATAATGCAACTTTGATGGCTTCAAAACTTCCTTGTTGCTCCTCCGACCAAGTGAATTGAGCCTGTTTCAATATGTCAGTAATGGGAGCCATGATAATACTGAACCCTTTGATGAAGCGTCGATAAAAATTAGCTAGCCCATGAAAACTCCGGATGTCAAACAGAGAACGAGGAGTTGGCCATTCCTTAATAGCAATAACTTTCCGCGGATCCAAGCTCACCCCCTCCGCTGATATTATAAAGCCAAGGAACGAAACCTGCTTGGTGGCAATTTCACACTTAGACAAATTTATAAATAGCTTGTTCTGTCTCAAAACAGTAAAAATGCTCAAGAGATGCTGCCGATAATCCTCCATCAAAGCGATGAATACTAAAATATCGTCAAAGTATACCACACATCATTTGTTTAAATAAGGCTTCAATACCTCGTTCGTCAAGCGCATAAAAGTTGCGGGAGCGTTACATAAGCCAAATGGCATTACTTTCCACTCATACAAACCTTGGCGTGTTTTGAATACAGTTTTCCATTCGTCGCCCGGACGAATTCGGATTTGATGATATCCGTTCCATAGATCCAGCTTAGAAAAAATGTTGGCTCCCGACAACTTGTCAAGCATGTATTCCATCCTCGACATTGGAAAACGGAATTTGACAGTAATTTTATTTATGGACCGACTATTTATGCACATCCTCCAACTGCCGTCCTTTTTTGGGACCAGGAGCGTCGGCACTGCACATGGACTAGGACTTGATTGGATCAATTGTTTCTCTAACAGCTCATCAACAATTTGATGCAAGATTTTATGCTCGTTGGGACTCATTTTGTAGTGAGGCATGTTTGGCAAGGTAGCTCCTGGTGCAAGCTCAATCTGGTGCTGAATTGCTCTCATGGGAGATAGTTCCGATGGAAGTTCAGATGGGCAAAGATCAGAGAATTGCTGTAATAATGATTTAATCTCAGCACATACAAACTCTTCCTGGTTTGGACGGTTCTGTTCTGTGACTATTAAAGCCATAATGCATGTAGACTCACGCCAAGTATTGACTAATGCTGATCCCGATACCGCAAACAAAGCAGTTTTGACTTGCTGCTCGTTCACTCGAGGCAGTAATTTTTCCTTTCCATTCAAAGGAATAAGTATTTGCCCGGCCATCATAATTGGCCCCAACATCAAATTGCCATGGCCTTCCCAAAATTAAGTGACACACATCCATTTCGACCACATCACAAAGAACTTCGCTAGCATAGTGACGGCCAATGGAAAATGCAAATTTTCACATATAAACTAGGATGCTCAATTCACTTGATAGTGCAAATTTTTTGATGTTTTTAATTGTAAAGCTTGTACCACAACACGCGAGATGACATTCTTCGTGCATCCGCTATCAATGAGCATATCACAAACCTTTCCCTTGATAGTGCACTTTGTTTTAAACAAAGCATTTCGCTGTGACTCTGTCGGCTGCCGCGGAGCTAACAACAACCTTTGTAACACACAAACAACGACCTCCCCTTCATCTCCTGCTACATCTTCGAGATCTTCTTCTTGACCACCCACTGCACTGTCATCTCCCTCTTCATCTTCGACTTCTAACAGTTGTAACTGAGGTCGAGTCGGACACTCATTGGATTTGTGACCCTGTTGGAAACATCTAAAGCACTTGATATTTGCCGGCTTGGTATAAGGGTTGTCTTTTAATGGAGCCTTATTTCTTTGATAGTTCCTAGGATCAGCTGCTCTTTGCCCTATGCTAGGAGAATGATTTGCTGCAGCCGGTGACATTGGCTTAGCGACCAGAGACCGAACCATAGGATTGCTGTTTACTTCCTTCGGTAAATTGCTCCGAGCTTCTTCTGTGTGACCAATTGCTGCTGTGTCTGGGCATTTGCATTTCGGCCTTAAGTGCGTAGTTCACGGCTTGGGATAACGACCAAATTGTATTTAATCTAATTTATCTTGGATTGCATCTTTCAATCCGCCAATGTATCTCGCCACAATTTGATTTGTCGTCTCATTTAAATTATTTCTAGCATTGAGTCTATAAAATTCCTCCGTATAATCATTCATAGTTTTCGATCCTTGGGAGAAGTGTTGATATTGCACATACAACATTTGCTCGTAATCAATAGGTAAAAAGTGTCCACGCAATAATTTTTTCATTCGAAGCCAATTGCGGACAATACCCTTCCCTTCACGTCTCCTTGATTGGATAACTTGTTGCCACCACGCACTGGCACCCCCTTTGAGCTTACACGCCACATATTTCACTTGTTTTTCAGGATCAATCTCCATATACTCGAAGAAAGTTTCGACTGCTCTTTCCCAATCTAAATAATCTTCAATGTGCAATTTACCATCAAAAAATGGTATATCAAGTTTGACGCAAAACTCACTGTGATTTTTGTCTCTGGGCCATGGACGTCGTCTTCGCACCGTTCCTGGTTCCTCTTCCGAGTCGGAGACCTCCAAGGTATTAGAAATGTCCAGTTCTTCTTCTTCAGATTCTGAAACTTTTGGAGCTAAGTTATTCGGCAGTCATTCCCTGTCTGCGACGAACCCACGCCTCGTTGCCGGTGTGGTTGCCGGCGGTAGCATCCGAGCGGTTTGGTTCCTGTCCAGACGTGCTTGAATCAACCGGAGTTCTCGACGCATTTCGCCAAAGAAACGATTGACATCGGCAGATAGAACTTCTGTTGTTCTCGCCAAGTTGGCATGTTCAACCCACAAGGCTTCAAGGCTGCGATCTTCACCGATGGCCAACCGTTTGCTGCCCTCAGTCATCCTTGCTCTGATACCAAATTATGATGTAGATACCTGCAAGAAGATGGAAACACAGAGAAACAAGCAAGCAAAAATAGAGAACAAAGTTCTGTATTGAGAGATAATATCAAAAACTGCCTTCTCCAAGAGACGCCCTGCAGGTTATAAGTCTCTCACGCTCCATATATTGTAAATGACATAAAACTAAAAAGCTGAAAGATGTACTAAGTAACTAACTATAGTACTAAGATAGTGGAGATTCCACATTCTAACAGATATTAGGAATAAAATGGTAAGTTACTCCTCGAGGTCACATATAAACTAGGATGCTCCGCATCACAAGCCTATACTTAGGTTTTTATCAGACTTCTAAATTGATTCCAATTACAATTATAAAAATTCTGAAATTTAATAAAAAAAATTAAATTTCTATTTCATAAAGAAATTAATTTAAAAATAATTTTCCACTTCTAAAATTAAAAAATAAATTTATTAAAACTAAATATAATAATAATTTATAAATAAGTTTGCTCAATTTTCATATATTTTATAAATGTATTGACCCAATAATTTTACATACTTATTGTTGAAATTTCATTTATTTGTATGGCAAATACTAAAAATTTTATATTTATTTATATAATTTTAAATATTTTATAAATAAATATAAAATAAATTTGCCTAATAATAATAAACTAACGATGGCGACTGAATCGTCGGACCAAATGGAAAGCTGGAAAAGCCAGTCTCCATACCGTCGCGTTTTATTCCTTCTCCTCCTCTGCTTCGTCCTTCCCCTTCTCATCTTGGGAGCGGCGGCGGGGAAGAGAAGAGTTAGCATCCCTGACGATCTTTCCGACGTTTTGGACGACGAAGAAGACGAGGAATGGAAGAAATGGGGGCAGAAGAAGACTCGCTCGGAGGACCTTCTGCCGCCTCCGGACTTCTCCAAGATGAATCCCGCCGAGATCCAGACTGAGATGATGAAGCGACACACGGGCCCTGCCTACGGCTTCGTTAAACTTCGACCTGGCGCCGCTCGCTCCAGGGTTCGTTCGAAATTCTTCTTCTTGTGGTTTCCGGTTTGAGATTCTTTCTTCTCTTAGTGACGATTGCGATGGGTTTTTAGGATTTCTTGGAGAAAGTTGGATTTTTTTAGATATTTTTAGTTTATTGGTGTTTTGGGGATTTTTGTAACATTCCAAGTTCTGGGCTTTTGTGCTGTTAATTATTATTATTATTTCTTGATCGAGGTTTTAAAGCTTAAGTAATAAACTTATAGGTGATCAATTAGGAGAAGATTTATCGTATTCACATTTACCACAAGATGAGGAGGTTTTTGGAACTTCAATGTAGTGAAGTTTTCTTCATTTGAACGAGGAGTATAAACTCTGGCCATGCCTTAGACCATCTCAAACCGTTCGGTAAACAATTAAATGGAGGCCCTCAAACGTAGCAATTGAACGTCATTTACTCCGCCATTTGATCGCAGTTGAACAGACGCCGCACTGTTCACTTGAGTCATTCTTTTCTCTCTACCAAACTTTCCTAAGAATGATGCGAAAGAAACGAGCGATGGTTAGGGGGCAAAATGACGCTCCATTGGAGATGAATCACGGCACTTTTTGGTTTTACTGCATTTTGCAGTGAAAAATGAAAGTTTCGGTTGGAGATGCCCTTAGGATTATGAATGGCCAACCCCTCCTTATATAGGAGTAGGTTGGGGCAACAATTACAAGTAAAAGTGTTGGGATTTCTTGGAAGAAGAGAAAGCTTGAATGTATAGGGAGAGAGGGAGAGGGAGAGGGGAGAATGGAGGTAGAAAACAAAATTCAATGTTTATTTCTTGCCTCATCAAAACAATACAATGCTCCCATATTTAAACTAAAACTACCTGAAGAGCAAAATAGTAAAACTGATAACAACATACAAATAGGACGGTCACCCATTTCTCCTCCGCAAGGAACAACCCAAGAAAAAATCTTCCCGTCGATTGCCACTTATCCTTCGCATGCTTTGGGAGATTTCCGTCTTTATAAGAAGTAACCGCCCTAGGCGAGTCGCCCAATGAAGTCAGAAGTCACCGACTTGGGCTTCGTTTTTTTTTATGTTTCATGAAGCAATTTTTCAATAAAAAATTTTAATTTTTATACTAAAATGATGCTTCAAGAAGCAATAAAAAAACCGTCCCAAACGAAGACTTAGATGAGTTGCTCAATAAAAGCGCGGCTTTAGGAAGTAAGCCGCCTGGGTGGTTGACTTGCTGAAGTGCTTGCCACTTGCTTGCTGAGAAGCCTTCTCAAACTAGGCGAGCTTGCTAAAAACTTCAACCGGCTAGGCTTGAGCGGGCTCTGGATATTTGTATGTACATCTATAATAAATAACATGTTTTCCTTCCTCTGTTGGTATTTCTTTGAAGCCTTTGTCTGGTTCACAATTTGAGTAATTATACTTTTATCTCTTCATTTCATGAAAACGTGCTTTGTTTATGTTGGCACTGGCTAGTTCGTTATTGGGATAGGTGGATTTTCCTCTGATAAAGAAGCATGGATAAATGCATCTTCACTAAGGTTTTGTTTGGGACGGCTTTTTTTCTGCTTCTTAAAGCAATTTTTTGATACAAAATACTAGAAAGCTGTTTTAAGAAATAATAATATAGTCGTTCCAAACGAAGTCTAAGTAGAAGATATCACAGTTTGCCTCAAAATGATTTTTATTTTTTACTTGGTATAAAACTTTGTACATTGGGAAACAAAAAAAGTTTTGTGTGCTTTCTGTAAAAATTATGACAGCTGAAATATACTGTGAAATTCTCAAAACACCTTTAATGAAATTACACATGACTGAGTCTGCATAAAATATTTCCTGATAGGATATTAATTAGGCTCCATAACAAAAATTTCATTTTGTTGCTTGGAATCTAAATCTCCAATATCATCCCCATTCCATGCTGAGTTTACCTTGGGAGGCATCAAATTTTACATTTTCATTGGGTTAGGTATCACATTGGGCACTCTCCAGGGGCGGAACCCCCTTCAGCTTAGGGGGGCAATTCTCCCTCCTAAAAAAATAAAAAAATTCTTTATTATGTGATTCTTTAGATAATTTGTCTCTCTCAATCCATTTTTTTCCTACGTTTTCTCTCAGGTTTTTGTGCAGTTGGCTGTTTTTCTGCTGTGGACAGCAGTTTTTCCTTTGGATCCTCTTGGTTTTGGTGTGAAACACTTGGAAATCCAAGTGTTTCCTATCACGGAACCCCCTTCAGCTTAGGGGGCCAAATGTCCCTCCTAAAAAAATAAAAAAACTCTTTATGTGATTCTTTAGATAATTTGTCTCCCTTAATCCATTTTTTAGTCTTTATTACAAGAGTTTTAGGCAATTGCCTCCTCCACCCCCTCCACCTAAAAGTTTTAAAGAGAATTCATCATTTTATTTATTAATTTGAATTCCAAAAATTATAGGTCAAACCCCGCCAGGGGACGCTGCCCCCTTGGACCCCAATATATCTGCAAAGCGTACGACGATCAAGGATATGAAGAAATAGGGGTTGAACCAAATTCAAGGCAACTCCAACATACATTTTGTAGAAATTAAATGATATCCAAATTCAAGGCAACCAAATTCAAAGATATCTTTAGCGATCATTTTCTTTTTGTTTCTATTATTTTTGTCACTATTCACCCATTTTCGTGTAGTGAAGGGTCGAGCCAAATTCGAGGCAACACCAACAGTTATTCCCTTGACTCCAACCCAATCCTTTCACTCACAAGCCTTGTCTAAATGGGGAAGGTGTTTAGGGGATGGCCTTCCCTAGTTTTATTTATGATTTTTCTGTTCATGTTTCTTCTTTTTTGCATGTTGCGTCATGGTTAATAACTTTGCCAAGAATCTTACTCATAAGAATACCAGCTTCACTTGTGCTTGTACTGACAATCTCTAAATACCTAGGATGATGTGCCTGTGATTGCAATGAGATGGAGCAATCTCATCAAAACTGGTTCAGTTGAGGCTAGGTTCATGGCTGTTGATCGGCATACTATAATGTTCACAATGGAGAGGGGCCAAGACTTAAAAGAGGTATTTCTATCCCATGGAATTGGCAGTAATGTTTACTTTTTTTTTTGCAATTTGAATTTCTTTATATATTGTTTTTTTCATATATGCAAGTATTATAATGAATTTGATCATTTAATGTTTATAAGGTATGAATTTATGTTTCTTTTGGGATGGCAGCCTGAACAAAATACACCATGAATGGAGTGGTGTTCGGGCATGCGATGGGTGGCTTTCGACCCAAAACATTAAGAAACAAAAAAATTTCATTCTCAACAATGTTCGAAGGTGTTGTTGCATCGGCTATGATGCATTGATATTTTATAATAGCAGAGTGAAGTGTCTGACACTTGCAAGATAGAACACTCACCTAACACGTATGGTGTGTGCTAGAGTCATGTTTCAAACGTGTTTGATGTATGTCGAACATGTTCAATAAATAAATAAATGACATGTTCATATATATATATAAGAATTATGCCAAAAATTAGTATACTTTCTGGAAAAATGAAACTTTCATAGAAGAGAAGCAAATAAAATGCTTTCAAAAAAATTCTCGTAGAATCGAGAATGAAATTCTCATTCTGTCCATGCTAGATCATGAATTAGTAACTGCATCCAATATACGAAAAAAAACCCATTGTTTCGAACTTTGTCTTTTTGGAATGTGATATTTACAGAATCCCCATGAATTGAATCAAACCTTATTCCATGATATGTCTCATGTTATATCATGATAAGCTACTTTTCCCTCAAGAGAAAAGCAAATATATGAAGACATTATGCAGGAGACTCCATTAGAAGAAATAGGTCCCAGTTTCTTTCCCTCCACCTTATTATCTTGCTATAATATCTTCTATGGGTTATTAGTATTTCCTTGATATGGATACTAACATTCTTTCTTTTTTTTTCATACTTTCTTTCTGCTAGTTCAAAGAGTTTGTTCTAAGTCAGCCTGAGGCATATGAAATGAAGATAGGGGAGCAGGTACTTCGCAGACCTGGAGACCCTCCTCTTGACCAAGTTATTGAGAAGCTGAACAGAGAGAAAGAAACAAATCATTCAAATGATGAACTATAGTTTGTCTATTTTTCAAATTTCTTCTTACTTCCATTGTTAGTCTGCTAATCCCCCTTTGTTCTTCAGATGGTTTGAAGCCAGATGTGGGCTTTTTGCCATCTAGGAAAGGCTTGTTGTAAGAGAACTCTCATTTGTTCTGGATTGAGAATTGCTGAAGATATTTTTATATCTTCTTTCACAAAATGTTATGTTTCTGCTATATTTTTTTTTTTTAATTTTCTTTTAAAACTTTTATGATTGGATTTTCTTCATAATTGAATATGCTAAAAGAATTCTGTGTAATATATTTTGATATTTGAATTGTAATTATATTGAATAAAATATTATTATATATATTTTTCATATGATACAATCTTTTTCAAATATATATATGAAAATCAGTTAACATAAATGTCCAAATATTGTTAAATATTTTCCTTAAGTATATATTAATGAAACATTCATCAAATGAAAACAATCAAAAGAGAACATCTAATAGTGCTGAATAGCTTAGGCTTAGTTGGGCTATAAATTTGAGCAATATGTATTATAAATTTGGTATATATATATATATATATATATATATATATATATATAAGAATTATGTCAAAAATTAGGATACTTTCGAGGAAAATGAAGCTTTCATGGAAGAGAAGCAAATGAAATTCTTTCATAAAAATTTTCGTAGAAAGGAGAATGAAATTCTCATTCTGTACATGCCAGATCATGAATTAGCAACTGCATCCAATCTACGAAAAAGACCCCATTGTTTTGAACTTTGTCTTTTTGGAATGTGATATTTACAGAATCCCCATGAATAGAATTGTTGCGTGCTAGAATATACGCGGCGGTAGTGTTTGTAAATTCACGTCCGAGCATTGTACTAGTATTCAGTGAAAGAGCGTTGAACTTCAGAAACAGTGAAGCAAAACCAGAGAGAAGAATAAAAGCTGGAAGAAGAAGACAGTCATTTTAGATGGCTGTCATGTATTGCTTAAGCTTAAGATGCTACAGTAATACAACTTTTATAATGGAATGCTAAATGATTAAAGTAGCTGCTGTAGCCGCCTTGCCAGACATCATGTGAGACCAACTGAGTTGTTGCCAGAGAGAGCGACTAAGCCGTTGCCTGAGTCGTTGCCAGAGGGAACGACTAAGCACAGTGATAGTGAGTCGTTATCTATGCAAACGACTAGTGTGCGGAAAATGAATTGGTTTAACACCCCCCCGCAAGATAACAATTCAGGAGGAATTGATTAACTTGTCCCTCAATGCTGTGAATCGTGTAGCAGGCAGAGTTTTAGTAAAGATATCAGCGAGCTGGTCTTGAGATGAGATGTGGTGTTCAATCAGATGCTTCACAGCAATGCAGTCACGGATGAAGTGATAATCTACTTCAATGTGTTTGGTTCTCACATGAAAAACAGGGTTGTTTGCCAACGCAATGGCGGAGATATTGTCACAGTAAACTGGTGTAGCATCATCGGAAGAGATGTTAACCTCTTCACTACAGAGAAGTGCATAAAGTTCATCCAATCCAATGGGCTCAGCTCTGGTTTGGATAGCCGTTTTGAAAGCATTATATGATTGAGGCAGTCCATTGAGAGTGTAGAAGATGACATCTTCAGTCTCAATGGGCGCTCCAGCAGAGGCGATAGCATCCACACGTTGCTTGATGTCAGACAGATACTGAAACATGGTTTTATCCTGCATTTTAAGATGGTGTAGTTCATTTTTGAGCTGGAGTAGACGAGAGCATGTAGAGGCTTGCAGGCGATGTTCCAGAGTATGCCAAATGTTCGTGCAGGTGGAGAGATTGAGCACATATGGCAATAACGGCTGAGAAATGGCGGAAAATAGAGCAGCAACCAAGTTTTGATCTATTAAATGCAGGAGAGATATTCGGGATTCACTGAGAAGGAATCTGCTGAAAGGTGTTTGGGGGGCGGACGTATAGAACCGTCGAGGTATCCGGTGTAGCCATTGGCGCCAAAGATTTTTAAAACTTGGGATCGCCAGATGGGATAATTTGAGGCAACAAGTTGTACATTTAGTACAGACTTGATATTTGACATAAGGAATTTTAGCTGTGGTGGGATAACCGGTGCAGTAGGGGGTGCAGGGGAAGCGGTGGTGGGCATCATCGGCACAGCTGCCGTGGATGATGCTTCGGTGTTGGCCATGAAGTCGACTTTAAATGGCGAGCGAAGGTGTTAGAGAATAACCCGCTCTGATACCATGAAAGAGCGTTGAACTTCAGAAACAGTGAAGCAAAACCAGAGAGAAGAATAAAAACTGGAAGAAGAAGACAATCATTTTAGATGGCTGTCATGTATTGCTTAAGCTTAAGATGCTACGGTAATACAGCTTTTATAATGGAATGCTAAATGATTAAAGTAGTTGTTGTAGCCGCCTTGCCAGACATCATGTGAGACCAACTGAGTCGTTGCCAGAGGGAGCGACTAAGTCGTTGCCTGAGTCGTTGCCAGAGGGAACGACTAAGCACAGTGATAGTGAGTCGTTATCTATGCAAACGACTAGTGTGCGGAAAATGAATTGGTTTAACATTCAGCACACAAACAGAAAAGAGAATATGAACACCATAATTTTTACGTGGAAACCCCAAAAAGGGAAAAAATCACGGGGTCTCGCCCAGTTGTAAAGTTCCACTAGTGTTTGTTTGAAGTACAAAGGTTGATCCGTCTTACAAATCAAGACGATCAGTTTACAATCAACTTCTCACAAAGTTACAAAGTTTTACAAATTCCCGGCGTTTCCCGAAAATTCGGCAGAGTTCTGGCGTCTTCAGGCGGCGGGAAGAGCTCCGGCGGTGGTCGACGAGGAGCTTCTTCCTTCTTCTCTTCTTCTTCTCTCTCTTCACTTCCCCCCCCCCCCCTTTGTGAAGAATGAGGGCTCTATTTATAGATTTTCTGGAGTGACATGACTTGTAAATAGGTATGAGATCAGGGGCGAATAGGGAGTGGTCGAATGGACGGTTGATGTTGAACCCTTCGATCACGCACCATTTGTTGGACATTTGAAGGCCTTAATGATGTTGGATTTCTTCGATCTTGGGTTCGTTGGATTCGTCTCGTCGAGCCGTTCGATTCAAGTATAAGCTCGTTAAAATCGGAGACCGTTTGGTAACTCAAATTGTGGTTTGAACCTTCCAACAGCGCTTCGGGTGCTTGATTTGGGCTCATTTGGCGAAGGATTGAGTTGAATTTGGTGTCGTTGGGTTCATAATTCTGAGACGCTCAGTTTGACTGTAAGCTCGTTGAAATCGGAGTTCGGGTGCTCCCAAAATTAATTTTTGAAGTTTCCGGCTTGAGTTTTGCCTCGAGATTCGTGCCGATCAAGATAATTTTTCTAGAATATATCAAGAATCAAACCTTATTCCATGATATGTCTCATGTTATATCATGATAAGCTAGTTTTCCCTCAAGAGAAAAGCAAATATATGAAGACATTATGCAGGAGACTCCATTAGAAGAAATAGGTCTAGTTTTTTTCCCTCAATAGTGAAGCAGTGTTATTATTAGTATTTCCTTGATATGGCTACTTAACATTCTTTCTTTTTTTCATACTTTCTTTCTGCTAGTTCAAAGAGTTTGTTCTAAGTCAGCCTGAGGCATATGAAATGAAGATAGGGGAGCAGTTACTTCGCAGTCCTGGAGATCCTCCTCTCGACCAAGTTATTGAGAAGCTGAACACACAGAAAGAAACAAATCATTCAAATGATGAACTATAGTTTGTCTATTTTTCAAACTTCTTCTCACTTCCATTGTTAGTCTGCTAATCCCCCTTTGTTCTTCAGATGGTTTGAAGCCAGATGTGGCCTTTTTGCCATCTAGGAAAGCTAGGCTTGTTGTAAGAGAACTCTCATTTGTTCTGGATTGAGAATTGTTGAAGATATTTTTATATCTTCTTTCACAAAATGTTATGTTTCTGCTATAGTTTTTTTTTTTAATTTTCTTTTAAAACTTTTATGATTGGATTTTCTTCATAATTGAATATGCTAAAAGAATTCTGTGTAATATATTTTGATATTTGAATTGTAATTATATTGAATAAAATATTATTATATATATTTTTCATATGATACAATCTTTTTCAAATATATATATGAAAATCAGTTAACATAAATGTCCAAATATTGTTAAATATTTTCCTTAAGTATATATTAATGAAACATTCATCAAATGAAAACAATCAAAAGAGAACATCTAATAGTGCTGAATAGCTTAGTTGATAAAAATTTATAAGTTATTATTCCAATTTTATATTTAAATCTTGACAACATATTAAAAAAAAAATGCTAAAAATAACGACAAGCAACCAACTCTCTGTCTGAATTAATTATTATGTGCGAATGCCAAACGTTGTCCGCAAATTAACTAGAATCTGCCTCATCACCTTTTCGCTTGGTACTACGGCTTGGCATCACTAACGTGGTGCATTCTGGTTGATATCCGGACGATGTTTTGTACTCGGTCTCCGTACATAATAATTTTTCATCCGACTGTCCATGAACAATTACAAATAACATTTTTATTAATTTTTTGGAAAAAAACAGTTGCTTGAGACCCATATACTGTTAAATTCAATAATTAAGAGCTTATTTCAACTTGCTGCTGAAATCTGAAAGATCCAGCAGCTGAATTCGAGAGATGCTTTTTGCTTCTTCCCTCTCCTTCTCAGTATTGTACCCCCATCTTCCTGTTTGAAGATTAATAAATTTGGTGAAAAAAGCTTGCAGGTCATCAATGGCAGTTGCAAGGAAGTGGGAAAGAAGAGGAAGATAAAGAATATTACCTAGATATAAGTTCCATCCATCCAATGCCGTCTCTTTAATGACATTTTTTAGAGTTGTAAGACGATCTTCTACAAAACTAAGTAAAAAGGAAAGCATATTAGCAGAATTAGGGCTGCAAGCGAACCAAGCGTTTGACGAGCTACTCGATGCTCGGTTCGATTAAAGCGCGATTGTGATCGTTTAACTAACTAAACAAACAAATTTGAACAACATTTTAAATACTCGATCCTTAAATAAACAAACTTGAACACTAATGTGGTCGGTTAATTTATGTTCACGAACAACATCATTTGAAGTTCATGAACAAGCTCGACATTAAGCTTGAAATGCAACAGGTAAGTTTCATTTAAGAATATATTCATATAGATTAAATTATATTTTCATTTTAAATAGACAACTACTTTTATTATAAATTTAATTTTCTGAACAAAAGACATTTCACATTTGTTTATGTTTGCTAGATTGTTTGTTTAAGATGTTCATGAACAAATTTAATATTTGTTTGTTCAATAGATTGTTTAATAAATATGTTCATGAACACAGCTAGTTAATGTTTGTTTGTTTAAAGCTCGATAAGCATTAAACGAGCCAAACATGAATCGAACATGAACCAAACATGAACACCCTTAAATTAAAAGAATTAAACATGAACACAAACAATAAAGCTCGAATAAAACATGAACCGAACTTGAACAAGCTAATAATAAACGAACTCAACATGAATACTCGCATACTCGACTCGACTCGGTTCGTTTGCAGCCCTAAGCAGAATGAACTTGACTGGTATTGTTTTGTAAGATTGTAGTAAGTTTTCAAAGCATAAGCAGGTTAGTCTATTGATGGTTTGAATATTGTGATGATTTGCACAACCATCAGCTTTAAATTGATTGAGATTTGCCATCAATATGTCAAATAGCTAAGGAGGTTTTTCAGCAAGATTATTTAGTGGAAATAGAAAATGATCGAATCAGTTCCCAGAGACAAAAGCTGTGTTCATTTTGATCTTAGGAAATTTTTATTGTACAAATTGATCCCTCAATTTAACGTATTTGAATCATTTTGTCCTTCAACATGGCGCCTCCTTTTTATAACTTTAACGATCAGATTTTAGAATAAAAAAAAGTTGGCATCAAAATGAGCACTGACATCATATCCAACCAAATTGCATACCATTGCATGTCATCCGCCATTTGCTGCTTTCAAACTCCAAATCTCACGTCAAAATTGGGTAGGTGAACAGTGCGACGCCAATATTGATATTGGGCTGTTCACCCTATGCCAAAAAATGTGGGTTGCCGAATTTGCCGAAGACGAGTATGAAAGAGGAGAAAAGTGCGCGAAAGAGGAGAGAGATTGTTACCTTCACAGGAAGCACGCGAAAGAAGAAAAAAATACAGTTATATTGGAGATGAACTATGGCATTTTGAAGTTTTACTACATTTTAGAGTGGAAAATGAGTTTTTCGGTTGGAGATGCCCCGAATTGCCATTTGTTTCATCAGAGAAATTGGATTTTTAATTTAAGAGAAATGGTTCAGTTTAACTCTCAGTTTATAACATTTTATTTTCATTCCACCATCATGCGGTTAATATATAAGGTAACTATGTTGTCTAAGAGAAGTAAATGAGGAATAGATGTTGAATTTCATTCAGTTCAACAGTACTTCCTAAAAATTAGCTGCAAAAACAAATTATAAAATAACTCATACATTTGCATGGAGAAGTTTGCGGAGCTTACTGAAGCTTTAAGCTCTGATGCTCTGGCATTGCTTGCAGCTTCTTTAACACCTCAACCTTTGGGCTGAAAGGAAAAGGAAAGAACAAATATCATAATATATAAGATCAAAATCCAACCCCAAATTAATTAACTAACCCTGTCCCCAACCCATAAATTCTCTCAGCTGGAATAGTTACTCCTGCTAGTTTCCTTAATAATGCGTCAGCAAATCGGCTCTGGAAGAAGCAGAGTAAGCTAGAATCATGTACTCTTTAAGGCAGCACAGGATTTTGTATCAGTAAATCAATAAATTCATCTTACAAAATTTTCTGCACATATAAAATTATGAAATATTATACTTGTGATGTCAAACATTACAGATTTCTAGGCGAAAAGCAGCTCTTATATTTTCTAATAAATAAATGCTAACTGCAGTCATATTCAAGTTGCAGGCATGATTTGACAAAATCGTAGTAAAGATAGAAGAAAAAGTCTATGATAAGATGGCAAAATACCTGTTTTGTTGTGACAATATAAACTGCAGAGCTCGCAAATCTTAAGGCATCTGCTATTCCTGGATAAAATCTGAAGACAACTTTATGTAAATCATAAAGGAAATGCAATTATATTAGCGATATTAAGATACTTGCTCCACTAGAGTCAAATAGGGATTTTTTATTTGATTTTTGGTTCATTTAATATCTAGACGCAATTTAGAGAACAGGATATTATATACTTTAGACCAGAAGGTAACACTGTCATTGGCAGGTCCCAAGTCTTGGATGAGAAAAGTGGAGGGTTGTGTTAGGTAGTCGACATCCAGCATAAAACTTGTCGAATAATCATGACAACCCGGTTAGGAAAATAGTAGTATTAGATTTGACTTATGTTAAAAAAGGTAGAAGTAGACCTAAAAAGATTTGGATAGAAAATATTAGAAATGATATTTTTTTATTAGATTTAAATGAGAATTTGACTTTTAACAGTACGTAATGGAGAAAAATGATTTATGTAGCCAACCCCACGTAGTGGGATAAAGGCTTGATGATGTTGATATTGTTGTTGTACTGTAGACCATAAGGATGAACATTAAAGCAGTACCTGTTAGCATCAATCCAACCTGATAGATCCTTATCCATCCATTCATCACGAACATTTCCAAATAAAGTGATCAACTCTCTACTCTCCTCATCCCATTCTTTCATAATGACAGGTTTCAATTCTGACCACTTCTCCAAAATAGTTTCAACAGTTAGTCCCTCTGCAACCTTGAACATAAAATAAGTGAGAGTTTCAGGGCAAATATATATTTTTTCTTAGAATAGTTTCTGGTTCATGGTGTGAATCAAAGGAAAAGATACTAATGAGTCACGATAACACTATGTTAAATTTAGTGTACTTACAGAAGATTTACGAACAAATGGTTTTTGAATCTCCAATAGCAATCTGACGAGCAACAAATTTTCATAACCTGTTTCAACTACTGGACGCAGCTGACAGAGCGGAAAGGAAATAATGAAATATTTATTCAGTAAAACGATGCCGTCAAGCAAACTCATACTGCAACTAAATTGTATCTGCAAGATAGCAGAAATATCAGTCTTTTTAGCTTTCTGTTTAGCAGTTTTGTCATTTATTGTGCTGTATAATGCTGTGTTGTGCTGTCCAGTAAAAAAGATGATCGATTGATGAGATCAAGTTAAAACTGTTGTCTTCAATTATTGTAAGAATTGTAGCAATTTGATATAACTGCTGCGATACTAATATGAGTTGATAGAATGATCATAATGGATATATTATGAAATTCATATACTATAATATTATATCCTCATCATAACAAGTCTGTAATTCACATTTTGTCAATGTCATAACCAAATACATGGACAAGCTTGATCGAGCTTATTAAGATTAAATGCACTTTGAGTTATATTAAATGTGCTACATGTTACAAATTGGTATATACCATGGATAGATATGATTTCATTATAGGATTTTTTTTTTAATTGATCAGATTAGTAATCTTGACATGAATATAACTCAAACTGGATACATCTTTAATCACTTTGTGTGCATCATTAGTTGGAAGGGCGGGTTGTCTTCAACCTACAATTGCTTTATCCGCTAAACAGATCAAGTATATTAGACTTGCTAAAGTTATTAAATAAGCTATTTAGTTGAGAGGTTTTGAAGACTTGGGTTTACACAAATATTCTTCTAGTATGTTATGTGACAATTAAATTGTTATTCACTCTTTTTATTTGAAAGTGAAATTGTTATTCACTTAGCCAAATACTTGATATATCCTGAGAGAACTAAGTATATTAATGTTTTATATCACTTCATTAGAGAAAACATTGAATGTGGTGCAATTCCAATTCAAAAGATCCACCACGCAAAGAATAATTCTGTCGACATGCTTATTAAGATGATCATTGTTCTCAAGTTGAGGCAATGTTTGAACTTGATTGATTTGAGTAGTTGTTGATGCCCTTTGGGTGAGGAGGAGGTTAAGGAGTTTTGGTGATTCTTAGCATAGATTCTATATTTTTCATACTTTCACTAGTCGGGACAAAAGCTTGATGTTGTTGTTGTTGTTGTCACTAGTCGGGGCATTGCCTTTCTCAGCAATAAGTAGACACCGAAGGTATCATCTTCTAAGATGCAACTTCATCTTCTTGGCAGCCAGTGGTTTTCTTATAGCAATCAAACAGTTGGCTGACAGAAAGAGAGAAAAAGAGTAATGTTTGGAGAAGGAGAACTATTATAGATTTTGGTAATTATGAGAGTTACTTTTAACATTTTCTTGTTAGGTTCTCATAAGGTTTATGTTAGACCGATCCATTGGACCAGTCCAGCTGATCCACACGGGACCGGCCCAGGCGGAATAGAGGCGGAAGTTCTGCCTCTCCTGTACCTGCCAAACGAGCTGCCGATTACAGAAAAGCTGTTTAGGAAAGATTTTTGAGGGAGTTTGGAGGAAAATTTGAATGTAGGACTATTTAGAGATTTCCTTTTGGATTGTATTTATTAAATAGTTTGTTTTCCTAGGGTTAGGACATCTTGAATTTGGCTGAAAGTTGAGAACTCTTAAGTTTAGGTTTTTGGGCTCTAGCGGTGTCTAGAGATTTGGAAGAGATAGATCCTCCTCTCGAATAGTGGATCAATTGTATATTGTTATTTTCTTTCCGTTAGTTTGATTATTCCAATAAAAACTACTATTTTTTTTTGTTTTTCCTTTGTATTGATTAATCGTTCTCGCTATTGTTGTCAAGATTGTTAGGTTTCGCTTGAGATCTTCAAGTGTTTCCTAACAGTTTCCTTCATAAGGAACTTGCTCTCTTTGTTTTAGTCGGATTTGATCTCCTCCTCCTTGCTAGTTTTCTATGAGGAGGATTTGATATTTGCTTTGATATTCCTCTTATTTTTTACTCTTTCATATATTTTAATAGTGAATATTTTTGCCTCCTTCACTATGGATATAAATAATTCTTAACCAAACCACATAAAGTTGGTGTTCTTATCTTTATAGTTATTTATTTTGTTCATTATCATATTTTGTGTATACTATTTCTCATTTTATATTTTATATTTATTTTTAATCATATATTTTGTTTTATCTCCAACCGATCTTCATTTCTTACTTTACATTATTTAAAATAAATAACCTAATTAAAAAAGTAATTATCTAAAAATATTTTAAAATTTTAAAATAATGCATTTATAAATTATTAATTTTTAATTATAAATAATAAAGATCCTACACTTAATAACTTACACTTATTAACCTAATTTTCTGAATTTAAAAAAAAAAAAATCGTCGGTGAACAGTGCGACGAATGGCAGACGGCAAACGAGCCTTAAGCGTTCGGTTGGAGAAGACCTAAACTTGGCACAACGAGCCCCACAAATTGACTATAAACTGAAACTTCCTAGCCCTAACCCAAAGAACACGGCCCGGAGATGTCATTGAAACAAGGTAACAAAATGGATTTACAGAGATGGAGCGGAACTTCAAGCAGCAAAATAGCAGTATATATATATGCCTCCTCTTTTTTATTTTTCTTCTCTATTTGTTCTTCTTAGCCCCTTCTTTCTCTTTTTAACGAAGAATAATGAATCTATTTATAATATTTTGAGAGTAACATTTCTAATAAATAAGGATGAGATCAAGTGCATGTTGTAAGTGTTTTGAATGAACAACTGATATCGATTCTTTTGATCATAGATCATTTATCGAATATTTGAGTACCTTAATGATGCCATAATTCAACCATTTTGGACTCGTTGGATTTGTCTGGTCAACTCGCTCGATTCAATTATAAGCATGTCATATTTGGAAACTGTTTGTTCATCCAATTTCCTTCCAAAGAGGTTTTGATCGAGTCTACGAGTTGGACATATTTGGGCTCGGATTGAGTCAAATTTGGTGTCATTAAATTTGTCTTTTCGAGCCGTTTAGTTCTACTATAAATTTATTGAAATTAGAGTTTGGATGATCCTAAATTTTATTTTGGCAATTTCTAATTTTATTTTATCTCAAAATTCGTGCCCGGTCATGATTGATCCTTTTGATGATATATCACTTCTAAATTAGATTCTATTAATTATATCATTTGGTATGTTGATAAGATATGGATGATGATGAAGCACTCTTAAATTTCTAATGTTAGCCAAAAAATGTTTATCTATTAAAATAATTATAATCAACAACTAATGTATTTAATTATAAATTATTTGAAAATTATTACACTTTCAAATAGAAATTATCATTCCAAGTAGAGTAGGTGATTATTTGAGAAAAATTTAATGCATGCAATTAATATTTATGAGAATGAATAATTTTGATCTTATATTTTAAAGGTCAGAGTTTCTGAATCTAATTTTGCGCTAGTTTCAATAATTTTTTTGTGCTAGAAAGCTATTTTTTATGACAGCATTCAAAATATTATTTTTATTAAAAATGCAGCTGTCTCAATAGATCCTTAAAATTACAGTTATACTTTGGTGTAGTTTGACCCTACAATTATAAAATTTTTTAATTTATTTGATTGATGATCATACTTGGCTTCGTTTGGGATGACTTTTTTTGCTGTTTCTTAAAACAACTTTTTAGTAAAAAAAATTAATTTTTGTATTAAAAAATTGCTTTGAGAAGCATTAAGAAAGCGATCTCAAATGAAACTTTAATCAATGTCTTATTGAGATTATAGGGAACTCAGTGAATATGACATGCATGCATTTGGGGCTCTTCTAAGGACCAATTTTAATTAGATTTTGATTATGCTTAGTATTAACTTTTATGTTGAATTTTGTTCATCTTGAAAAGCAAAGCATTTTGTTTGTTTTGCATATTTAGAAGAAGATGGGAGCTTTCTTTTTCTAATTTAACTTTGTAGTTGTTATTTTACATAATCTTCAAACTAAAGTTGTTATTATTTATTATATTTTAAATTGTGAATTTAGTGTCGGATTCTTGATTTTGGCTCATTTGGGTTCGGATTGAGTTGAATTTGGTGTCTTTGGGTTCGTATCTCCGAGACGCTCAGTTTGACTATAAGCTCGTTGAAATCGGAGTTCAGGAGCTCCCAGATTTAATTTTTGAAGTTTCCGGTTCGAATGTGCTTCGAGATTCGTGCTTGATCAAACTAATTTTTTGAGAATATATCAGGGTTTAAATAAAAAATTATTTATTTTTTTTATAAGACACAAGATAAAATTTGAAGAATATTCTAATACAAAATACATCATAATATCATAATTGTTGCGTCCAGGAGTATTCGCGGCGGTAGATAAATATAAAGTTTATCATCTTAGCGTTGTACGAAAATCCGGCACGCAATCAGATAAGAGAGAGGGTCTAGCATTTATGAGACACCAAGATTTTTACGTGGAAAACCCCTGAAAAGTGGGAAAAACCACGGGGTCTAGCCCAGTTTGAATGAATCCACTAGTATTGCAGTCGATTACAAATGAGGCCCTTCCTTGGGAGAAGGCATTAGCTTGATGTACATTTTATAGAGTACATTACATGATATGAATATAAAGAATCACTATTGACATGTTTTTTTGGTAGGGAGGATCGTAGTCGGCAGGCGACGTAAGTCAGGAGGACCGTAGTCGGCGGGCGACAGAGGTCGGAAAGACTGTAGTCGGCGGTCGACGTGAGTCAGGAGAACCGTAGTAGGCGGGCGACGGAGGTCGGAAAGACTGCAGTCGGCGGGCGACATAAGTCAGGAGGACCGTAGTCGACGGGCGATGGAGGTCGGAAGGACTGTAGTCTGACGACGAAGACCAGAAGGACAGCGTCAGGTAGAAGTCCAACAATGGAAAGAAATCCATCTTCGCATAGACGTACAGCAAAGTCCGATAACTAGTAGAAGTCCGGCGTCGGGTAGAAACTTGGCGAAGAGTGAAGGTCCGACATCAGGTAGAAGTCCGACGTCTGTTGGTGGCAAAGGAGAACTCCGGCTTCACTTGGGCGGAGTTTCGGCGTCAGGAGGGAACTTTATTGCAAATTGGGAAGAATTTCAGCATCACGTGGAAGTTGGGAAGAATTCCTGCGTTCTCCCAAATATCACGCAGAATCCCGGAGTGTTCGGGCGGCAGGACGAACTCCGGCGGTGGTCGAGGAGGAGAGGATTCTCCTTTTCCCCTTTCTCCTCTTCTTCTCCTCTTCTTCTCTTCTTCTTCTCTCTCTTCACTTGAGTCCCCTTTGTGTAGAATGATGGCTCTATTTATAGTTTTTTTGGAGTGGCATGGCTCATAAATAGGTGTGAGATCATGGGCGAATAGGGAGTGGTTTGAATGGACAGCCGATATTGAACCCTTCGATCGCGCACCGTTTGTTGGACATTTGAAGGCCTTAATGATGTTAGAATTCAGCGATCTTGGGCTCGTTGGATTTGTCTCTTCGAGCCGCTCGATTCGAGTATAAGCTCGTCAAAATCGGAGACCATTTGGTAACTCAAATTGCGGTTTGAACCTTCCAACAGTGCTTTGAGCCCTTGATTCAGACTCATTTGGGCTCGGATTGGGTCGAATTTGGTGTCGTTGGATTCGTATTTCCGAGACGCTCAGTTTGACTATAAGCTCACTAAAATCGGAGTTCATATGCTCTCGAATTTAATTTTTGAAAATTCCGAACTGATTTTGCCTCAAGATTCGTGCCCAATCAAGATAATTTCATGATGACGTATCAAATACAATAATAATAATAAATGAAATGATAATTCTGTTGAAGGTATGTAAACTAAAGGCACATTAACAAGATATATAAAAAATAAATAAATAATAGAAACAGGAGTATGGTGCTACAGGTCAAGGAAGTTAAAATCATAGGCCTGTGTCAATTAATTTTATTGATAATGGTCTTGAAAAAAGCTCAGATCCTATAATAAAAAAAATTTTACAATATTTGCACTTGGTTGTTTTGACTCTCACTCATACTTAACCATAAAAGTTATATAGTTTGTTTGTTAATTCATCCATGTATGACAATTTTAATGCTAAAAGAGAAGCTGTAAGAGACACCAAAGTGTCTTCTGGAAAAAAACTCAAAAAAAGAAGAAGCATGATTACAATCGATTACAAATGATGCTCTATCTAGTGAGAAGATATTGATACAATATAATAAACATAAGCTATCCATAATAGATTTCATAATAGAGTCTAGAAGAACATTATAGCAGGAGATCTATCTTCAAGAGACCAGTTGTTATTTGTTTAATCATTCGTCTTCGAGAAGAAGAAACAAGAAACCAAGAATTAATACTAACATAAATATTGATGTTGACATAAATAGATTTCATAAATATTGGTATTAACGACATGCATCAATCTAATAGATGAAAGCTCTTCTAACTTCAACAAGCTAATGTGTAATTTATTTTGTATCAATACCTTCAATTGTAATCAAATATCAATACCAATGAAATAATTTTGACTAGGCCATGCCTCATGGTTTTTACCTTTTCTATGTTTTTTCACATAATAAGTCTAGCACCCATTATAATTCTTGCAGCCCCTTCTTATTTTTATGATGTTAAGATGTTAAACTCTCTATTTCTTTACTTCCGTGAATGTTCCAACACACCATAATATGCATGTGTGATTTTCTCTAACACTAAAAGTATTTTGAAAAAGTTTTATCAAAATATTATGATTAAAAGCACTTCATATTGAATTTTAAAATCATTAATTTTATCTTATATAAAATATTTTATATCCACAACCATCACATGAGGCCTGTGCAGATCTACTCAACTAAACTTCCAAGCTATCTTACATCAAAAGTAGATTAAATGATGTGGCCTCTACTATTTCTTCTATTACTATAAGAAAATCGTCCATTACCGATAGATTAAATAAGTTAATTACAATTTCTTCTATCACCGCAGAAAACTCATCCAACCAAAATAAAATATTAAACTTAAAAATTAATTAAATAAGTTATTAAATTAACAATTAATTAAAATACTTTATTAAATTAATAATTAATTAAAATAAACTATAAAATTATTGATTAATTAAATTATGAATATATTATTTTTTTAGAAATTATTTAAAATCCACCAAAAAATACCAGCAAATTTATTGAGGTCGGAAAATTCGCCGGAAAAGCTGTCTCATTGTATTCCGTCGAAAAACCACGAAAAGGTGACCATTAGAAATCCCTAAAAAATTTCGCCAATAATGAGTGATTTTTTGTAGTGTATTTGACAAATTCAATAAATTAATTATTTCCTTATTTTTTGTTTCATTTAGCCTATGTATTAAATTGACATTCATTATGGATATTAATTCACATTCATTTCTTTGAGCCTATGTATTAAATTGGCATTCATGATGAGTGTTAATTTACTTTCCTTTCTTTCAGTCTATGTATTAAATTGATATTCATGATGAGTGTTAATTCACTTTCCTTTCTTTTAGTATATATATGTATTAAATTGATATACATGATGAGCGATAATTCACTTTCCTTTTCTTCATTATCTTGTATCTATAACAACCCGAACCCGACCCGTTTTTCAAACTGATCGATTTTTGGAACCCGAACCTGACCCGTTTTGAAAATTCGGTCGGTTTGGTCAAACCCAAAATTTTCGGGTCGGATTTGAGTCGGGTTTTTGTGTCTTGTCAAATATTGACGCCCCTAATTATAAGCATGTCACATTTGGAAACCGTTTGGTCATCCAATTTATGGCTTGAACCTTCCAAAGATGCTTTGAGTCTACGATTTGGACTTATTTGGGCTCAGATTGGGTTAGATTTGGTGTCATTAAATTTGTCTTTTCAAGCCGTTTAGTTCTACTATAAATTTATTGAAATCAGAGTTTGGATGATCCCATATTTAATTTTGAAAATTTTTAACTTTATTTTGTCTCAAGATTCGTGTTTGATCATGATTGAACTTTTTGATGTTATATCACTTCTAAATTATATTCTATTAATTATATCATTTGGTACGTTGATAAGATATGGATGATGATGAAGCACTCTTAAATTTCTAATGTTAGCCAAAAAATGTTTATCTATTAAAATTATAATCAACAACTAATGTATTTAATTATAAATTATCTAAAAATTATTACACTTTCAAATAGAAATTATCATTCCAAGTAGAGGAAATGATTATTTGAGAAAAATTTAATGCATGCAATTAATATTTATAAGAATGAATAATTTTGATCTTATATTTTAAATGTCATAGTTACAAAATCTAATTTAGAGAAGAATATAGAATATATATTTTTAATATATCATATGATATAATATCACATTATTCATTGTAATCCAAAGATTAAAAAAATAATATGTGGATTGAGTTTCACTAATGTTTATGATTTTTTTAATTTTTGATTAAGCACATACAAAGTATAAAGATGATTGAACGACATACAAAATTAGTTTTAAAGCTTATTTTTATCAGTTTATTTTGCTAATCAAAATCGTTCAATATATGCCAAGATATGATTAACAACCTATGCATTTTATGTCAACCCATTTGAAAGTAACTATATTGTAAGGTTCATTTAGGACAGTTTTTTTAATACATTATTTTTTACAGATTGCAATCACGGTTTTTATTTGATCGATATTTTGTGTTATTTTAAAATAAATGTTTGTCCTAAAAACTATTTTTTTATGGTAATTTTCTAAAAATTATTTTTATAAAAATCTACAGCCATCCCAACAGACCCTTAAAATTACAGTTATATTTTGGTGTAGTTTGACCCTACCATCATAAAATTTTTAATGTATTTGATTGATGCTCTTATGTGGCTTCATTTGTGATGACTTTCTTACTGCTTTTTAAAGTAATTTTTAGTTAAAAAATATTTTTATATTAAAAAATTGTTTTAAGAAACAGTAAGAAAGCAATATCAAATGAAGCCTTAATCACTATTGATAAGTTATCATGAAATTATCTTGATCGGGCACGAATCTCGAGGCAAAACCCAACCCGGAAAATTCAAAAATTAAATCCGAGAGCACTCGAACTCCGATTTCAACAAGCTTACAGTCAAACTGAGTGTCTTGGAAATACGAACCCAACAATTCAACTCAATCAGAGTCCAAAAATGTGCCCAAATCAAGGCCCGAAGCGCTGTTGGAAAGCTCGTACCACAATTTGAGTTATCAAACGGTCTCCGATTTTAATGAGTTTATACTCGAATTGAGCGGCTTGATGAGAAGAATCCAACGAATCCAAGATCAAAGAATTCCGACATCACTAAGGCCTTCAAATGTCCAACGAACGGTGCACGATCGAAGGATTCAACATCAACCGTCCATTCGACCACTCCATATTCGCCCCTGATCTCACACCTATTTACAAGTCATGCCACTCCAGAAAAATTATAAATAGAGCCCTCATTCTTCACAAGAAGGGAGAGGAAGGAGGGAGAAGAAGTGGGAAGAGGAATAGAAAGGGGAAAGGAGAATCATCTCATCCTCGACCACCGTCGGAGTTCTTCCCACCGCCCGAATACGTCAGAATTCTACCGGATATTCGGGAAACACCGGGATTTTGCACAACTTTGTTTTAATTCAGGAGAAACTTAGTATAATATGATTGTCCTAACTTGTGGGACGAATCAGCTTCTCGTAATTGATGCAACACTAGTGGAACTTTTCAACCGGGCGTGGCCCCGTGGTTTTTCCCTTTTTCAGGGTTTTCCACGTAAAAATCATGGTGTTCACTTTCTTTTCTGTTTGTGAGCTGAATATTCGTACAACGCTCAGACGTAAATTTGTAAACTCTACCGCCGCTTATATTCTAGCCCGCAACAACTATCTTATTGAGATTATAGGGAACTCAATGAATATGACATGCATGCATTTGGGGTTCTTGAGTTCTTCTATGGACCAATTTTAATTAGATTTTGATTGTGCTTAGTTTTAACTTTTATGTTGAATTTTGTTCATCTTTAAAAGCAAAGCATTTTATTTGTTTTGGATAATTAGAAGAATATGGGAGCTTTCTTTTTCTAATTTAACTTTATAGTTGTTATTTCACATAATTTTCAAACTAAAGACGTTATTATTTATTATATTTTAAATTGTAAAAATGGCTTGTGCATTATTTAAATTCTAGACAATGCATTAAATAGCCACTAGCCAGGTAATTATTATTATTTTGCTCGCTAATGTTAAGGGTTTAAATAGAAAAATATTTATTTTTTATAAGACAAGATAAAATTTGAAGAATACTCTGATGCAAAATACATTCGCAAATTAAATATATTTTGAAATGAATTTAATTAATAAATTATCAATCAAATTTTATGTTATATTATTTCAAAATAATTTAATAATTTTGAATTCTTCCAAATTAAATTTAAATTAGCATTTTTTTTTTTAAATTTTCTCATCCAATCCTTTTGATGATGATGATGATGATGATGATATATATGTCTTTTAAAAAATAAAACAAAAATCAAAATAAATATTTTAAGAAAATAGACAATATAATATTTACATCAACATATTTAATTAAATAAAAATATAATTTCGATAAGTATAGACCAAATCAGCTCAAAATGATTCCTTTAGATTAGGTGAAGCTTCGGAACTTTTGATTTTGCCGGTGATTCGGTGAACCATCCAGTCCTGCCACCAGAATAGCAAAATATTTATGCACGTCTCGTTTATTAAAAAATAAAATTTCCTCTGATGTCCGTTGGATCTCTTTAATAATCGTGTATTATATCAATAAGACAATCTGGAAGCAGAAATAAGGATTTTGTGGTTTTGATCATCTCGCATAATTTCAACGTACATTCATATTGCATGATGTGTGTCCACGTGTATGTGGAAGAAAGAGCCGTGTAAGATAGCAACAGCCATTCCGCACGTGTGCGCACGCGTGCGTGGCTTTTTCCTACTATATTCTTCCCCGTTGATTTGATATTTGGACAATCGATCAGTTAAAGCGGTATTTCTGTAATTTTATTGATTAAGGTGTGGGCATTTGTAACTTCGTCACTGCCGTGCTTGACGCTCATTAGTCTTAAGGGGAACAACATAACTCTCTGAGATTCTTCTTCGAAGTTCACCGCTGCTTCAATTCTCAGATCTTCGAAGTCCGTCTCTTCGAACGCGCTTCCGGCGTCTGGAAGTGTAGGTTTCCGGTGAGGATTATTAATTCTGTTTTGCTTTTGGAAGAAATTCGTGTTCGGAAGCAGTGATTTTGTTTGATTTCCTGGAAAGTGGGAATTGTTCTGTGGTGCATGGGATTGGTCTTTCGAGTTTGAAGATAGGTGGAGCTAGAGGGTTAGGGTTTCTATTTCATGTTCTTTGTTGAAGGGATTAGTGATGAGGGGAGTGAACGGGAATGATAGCGTGGAAACGGTGGTTGCAGCTGCGAACGCCATCGCTTCCGCTGGGAGTCGAGTTCAGCCGGGCTCAATTCGGGTAGGTTTATTTTCTTTGTTTATGTAACTCATAGTTTCAGCAGTTCATCATTTTATTTATTTAGAATAATTGAGAATTTGCTTGTATGTGTTGGTTCTGTTGAAGGAATTGATGATTTTCCTTTTCTGCGTGTTTCCAATTTTATTAGTGGGTTCTCTTTTGGGTGCAAATGTTTGAATAATTGAATTTGTAATTGCGCCCGCTAAAATTGTCTATTTTTTTAATAATTTAAGTAATCTAGTTTGGTTTTTTGCAATCATTTGTTAATTTAGAATCAGAAGGTAGATGGTAGGTTGTACATCATACTGCAAAGTTTTTCCAGTTTTTAGCTTTAGAAATCTTTTAGAACTTTAGTTAAATACAGTGCGGAGTATGGGTTTGCAGTCTTATGCTTTTTTTCTTGATCAGCGAACGATTCAAATGACTGCTTTTGTTGATTCTTTCTAATTAATACTGCAATCACTCCCATGTTTGTAGGGGATTTAGTCTGAAACAATTAACTAAAGTGTTTGGCTCAAGCCTAACGTTCTTTTGTTTTTGTCTTTGGCTTGACATTTGTCTTTGTATTATCTCTGAACTTTTGCGTGCTACATACAAAGTCTCTTTGATAGAGATTCAGAAAGGGACAAAATGTATTGAGAGTGTTGTTTTTAGTCTAGGTGCATCTTGCTATATTTACGTGTTATGCAAGTTTTTTTATCTTTTGTAAATTTTTTTGTATAATACATAAAATCTCCAGTAGCAGATGATGTCAAAGATAAAAAATTTAGAATTAGAATTCTAATGTGAACGGGAAATGGTATCCCATGCAGACTATCATATTTATAATTTTCTTTTGGATTTGTTAGTCATGGATCAGGTTGGGTTTCTTATATGTCAATGGAATTGAGTGAGAATACTTTTATTTAGAAGGCATGCTATGTTTGTTAATGTATAGTAATTACTATGTGTTCTTAAATTTGGTATAAACATAAAACCATGGCAGTTTGCACATGCGGGATGCAAACTAGTCTGAACCTTGCATAGAACATAAGTAGTAAGTACTCACAGATTTAAAATCATGGTTTGCAAGCATCCATTTTATAATATTATGATAGTCTATTTACAGATTTTGCTATATATCAGCTTTCTTGTTTAAAGTTTTGATTTGGATCTGCCACTTTGCATATGGGATATGTTACTGGGGACTATCATTGGATTTGCTGGATGTGATATCTAACTACCTATGAAGAATAAAAATTTCAAAAGCTTTCCATGTTGTATTGGATAAGTGTTAAACCATTTTTGTAATTAACTTTCGATGCTAGGAGAAATTGATTTAATTACAACTACATTTTGATGTATATCATTATCATTATTCACATTTTATGAAATATTAAAATATAATTGTAATTAAATCAATTCTAGTTTTTTTTTAATATTCTTAATCTCTTATGTTATATATATATATATATATATCATACTTCATTATGTGATGCTTTTTAATAAAAAAATTGGAATAATATGTTTTTATTTCATATTTTATATCAATAATGTATAAAAGTAAATATGTCAATGGCGAGTTGTGTCCTATTTTTATAGTTATGTTGTGTCTTTGTATCTATGTCATGTTGTTTTTTTTTTCTTGTGTCGATGTTATGTTCTACAAACAGTAACTATAGAGTATTTATGTAGCGTGACCTATTTAACATTTTTCTCTTTTATACGCAACTTTCTGGCAATATTCTTCATAACACGCTAAAGACATGTTTTATGGCACTTCCCTAGACAATTAAAAATTGAATTTTAGTTTGCTAAATTAATTAGGAATTGATTTATGTCAATCTTGTGTAGTAATATAGAGTTGTAAATTTTATAAATAAATGAGTCGATGTTAGTAAAGGAAGTATCTTTTATTTAATAAAATATCTTATATTCTAGTTTTAAATTTTGTGGGTGCATGCTAGATGTTTTATTCTTTTGTGCGTGATATAATAATGGTTATTTAATTTTTGGGGTACGTTATCTCCGTATTTGTTAGAGGCATTGATTTTCTATACTTGAGTTATATCATTTATTTATTTTTTTTATCTTTATTATTTTGTTATTGGTGATGTAAGAGCATTGATACGGTCAAATTGACAACAATTGAGATTTCATTTGCAGTGTAAACTTTTGATTGCTCATTGATTTTTTGTTGTTCTAATTTCTTGTTGTTTCTTCGTATTTAATCAATTTTTGCATTATCATTTTGGTTCAACTTCATGAATTTTCTAGTTTACATCAAAAGAAATTTAGTTTTTTGTATGTTATGTTTTTTGTTATGAATCCTTATTTTATTTTTTGTGTTTAAAATTCTTTATATCATTTTAGTTGTATTAGAAACCCTAGCCATTTTGTGGGCCTCCGAAAGGATGCTGCATGTGGGGATCAAAATGCAAACGGTACGATCGTATTATCCCGTAGGACAAAATGGTCGTAGGCCTTTACACTCTATGCAAGCAGGCCAATATGAGAGCAGATGAGATCATATATATGATTAACCATGGAGAATAGTGACTTTCACCTACACACCTCAATGTGTAACAATATATATGATCCAATAATTATGAGATTTTCTCCGTTCGACATATTAGCTTGAATGAGTTTTATTTGATGTGGGTGTTAGTTTCCCATTAGGGTAAGCCCCCATAGTTAATTATATCTTAAGCCTTGACCTAAGAATACTCTTGATTAAGAACACTATATTATTCTCTTTAGGATTTGATGCATAAGGGGATATTTATACTCTCATAATCCAAAGGAAGATAAGCTCAATCAGGCTATTCAACCTGCACAAATCACACAAGCACTCGGCTGGACCAAAGAGGAGAAATCAGAAGAAGAGTCATCTCATACCAAGCATGCGTGAGAGAAAGATGGCTGTGATGCCATTGGTGTGACACAGATTTGTGGGATTTACAGCCTTTAAAGAGCGGAGAACCTATCTAACGAGAAGACATGCAATGATATACCTATATCACTAGCCTTTGACCATAAATCTACAAAAGACATAATGTACATTCGATATTAACTCCCACAACCTAAATAATGCAAAACACCGCGATTGGAGTTATAACTTAAGCCCCACTAGGGATTTAAGCAGCCGCAACCTAAATTTATCATCCTGCTCGGAAAGGGGTACCAGCTAAACTCCATCTAGCATCTCAAATGTATGAAGTCCGGTCATATGCAAATGCAAGAGTGCTGGGAGGCGCATAAAGGGAAATGAGCATTAAGCCCGACCATGAATGACACTATGCTATGCAAAGTGAACTATCCATCTATGTTATAAAAGAAAATCTACAGTACATGCTTTGACTTATGACTATGCATGCATGGGTAGGGCCAATCATAATTTATTGATAGTTACTGTGAAGTGAATAAGGCTTGAAATAACAAGTGAGTTTTAAAAAGTGACCCACAAGGGATCATGCATGAGTTCTTGAAAATTTAGTTGATTTTAAATCCCAGTTTCTTTTTTTATCTTGTTTTGACAGATTTTTATTTTATAGTAAATTTAATATCCTAAAGAACATACGTTGACTCCGTTCGAGCCACCCCCAAGCAAATCAAAGTAAAAAACCTATGAAAAACATGCAGTTATAATGCACAATCAAAGTAAACACACCAATCTTCACACAACAAATAATAATTAATGACCATGAATGCAATTGGGTTATGCAATACATCCAGGAAAATAAGAAAAAAGGTAGTTGAGCTTTACCATACATACAACTAAGCCGAGATCTATACATTACTGAATGGTGTGTGGGGTCTTGATCGCTATTCACACATTTGGCTCATGCCTTCTAAAGTATCCTGACACCTACAATGCTTTCCTAACTAAAATTATATTTGAAAAATGAAAATAACATAAATCTCTTATAAAAATATGTTAGCACAATTAAAATAAAAATTACACACATCAAACATTCATAATATAGTTCTTAGGACCACATTCTCATGGGGTTAGCATTCCTCACAGTAACTGTTAGCAAGCATATTTATAATAATTATTTGCGCATTTTTATTTGCCTTTCGGGAATGTGGCTACCTGCATAAGATATATTTATAAAAATCTAACCACTTAAGGGCAAGTGCACACTCATCAATCCTCAAAACAGAAAATAAAGCAACAATAAACAATCAAAGGCAAAAATAACAACCATATCATCATATATGCATAATGCAAAAGAAAGAAAATTGAAAATGTTATCCTTACATTTAATACAATATCTTTTTACTTTAACCAAAAACAATCTAATTACAATTACTTAAAAAGTATATTTTATAAATAGTTTAATTAAAAGTGACTAAAACACCCTTATATTTAATACCATTAACTATAATATTGAATGTTAGGATAAAAAAGTTTCATTTTAAAGAGTTGAGGGACCAAATTGCTCCCTCAAAAGAATTAGGAATCATTTTGGTCCCTCACAAAGAGTTGAGATACCATTTTGATCATTTTTCTCTTAAAAAATATGTCGTGTTAACTTTACTTCTTATTTTAATTTCTGCCTTTGCCAAAATATTAATTTATTTTTTAGAAGGATAGTAATTTTTCCTAATTATTTTATGAATTCAAAGTAGAGTAGATAAGTAGATATGAAGCGAACTACAATAAAGATGTTACAAAGTTAATTACGGATCTAATTCAACATAAAGAGCTTCTGAATATTTAGTTAAAACAAGGCCACGGGCCAGACTGGAACTTATAACCTTCTCCCTAAGAATCATGGCTCTGAGTGCTTTAGTTAGAGCTACTTGGTTTCTCAAAGTATTAATAAAAATTGTTACTCATTAACCTATTGAATTTATTCTCCATCAAAACCTTGGATCATTTAAGGATCCAGTTAAAAGACAAGTATTTATGAGAAAACATAAAAAAAAAAATCGAGTTTGCTAAAATGCTGAAGTTTATGGGCTCTGCTGATACAACTTGTGTCTATGATATCAGTTCGCAACTCCATCTATAATTTATTAGTGAAAAAAAGATTTGTATTCTAGAATCTAGAATTGCTTATTGTTGTTTGATCAGGAGTATGCTTTATTGTCTGTTAAACCAGCCTCTGCTCTTAATAACAGCATAATCCAGGATCTGAACCATTAACTTTATGCAAGTTTTAAAAAGATATGTTTAAGTGATGCCTAATTTGGCAAATGGCTACCATTATGGGTGCTTAACTGGGAAGAAGAATTGACATAGTATATCTTAAGCTAATTTTCTGTGATGACACATTCTAACATATTGGATTGCAAGTGAAGCCTCTATTTTGTAAAATCTAATTATCTTGATTGATACAATATCTTACTTGTTTTTCTTCAACAATAGAAAGAAATGTCTTGCAATACAATAGGTTCTGGGTGTGTCCTCACTGAAAATTAGCTTGCATAGATTATTTTTTCTTGAGTTTAACATCTCTCAATCTATGCCTATTTCCAGATACAAGAAATTATAGTTTATTCAATAATACTTTTTTTTTATTTGTCACAGAGGAGAAGATGGAAGGCTTGGTTTGAGATGTACTGGTGCTTTGGATCTCACGGACAACCAAGTCGTGTCAGTCAATCAGTTCTTGTTCCTGAGCCAACAGAAGGTCCTATATCACCAACATTTGCGAACTCAAACCAATCATCAGGACTAGTAGTTGCTCCTCCTTCCTCACCTTCTTCCTTCCTCCAATCAGAGCCTCCATCCACCATCCAGTCACCTGCAAAATTTTTCTCCCTCTCTTCTCTCGCTTCAAATTCCTATTCGCCTACGGGATCCTCCATCTTTGCCATTGGGCCCTATGCAAATGACACAAAATTAGTCTCTCCACCTGTTTTCTCCACATTCACCACTGAACCATCTACTGCCCCCGTCACACCTCCAGAACCCTTGCAACAAACAACTCCTTCTTCACCTGAGGTTCCATTTGCTCAGCTCTTGTCACCACCCTTTGACTCCAAAGGCAGATTAAGTGAGCCTTATGACTTCCATCCATACCAGCTCCACCCGGGGAGCCCTATAGGTCACCTAATTTCGCCAGGCTCTGTTTGTTCTGGCACATCCTCTCCATTCCCTGATATGGAATTGCATCCTTCAGCTGATGCTTCATTTCTCCCCTCTCCAATAGCTCAACCACCCAAGTTTTTGACTGCTCAAGACTTTACCAAGCACAAGCGTCTCAACGGCCGGGTTGCTCGAGATAATAGTTCGATTCTTGATGGTCGGATCACAGCACTCGAGCATTCTGCAGATGACAGTAAATCTATATTCGATAACTCTGCCGAAAATGAGGACATTGCTTTTGAATTTACAGCACAAGAATTTGCACAGCGGATGAAAAATCAACCAGAAACCTCTTTGGATGTAACCTCAGTGTTTCCCACGGATTTAGAGGAGACAATAGCTGAAAGAGACCAACTTTCACTAAATGGAACCAACCAGAAGTTTATTGAGAAAATAGAACATTCATCTGAGCTTGAAGCATCTAAGGAGTTCAAGTTTAACATTGAGACAGAGAATGGTGACGATAAAGAACTGGGTATTCTTCACTCTGGCTCAGCCTGGAGTCAGCTGAAGTTCGGTTTTGTTGAAAGAATTCATTAATTGAAAACCTGCATCACTATGAACAGATAATGGTGGAAATTGAATAGAGATTTTGGCCTTGGAAGATGGCGATCATGCTGTAAATAAGATTTGGTAGCTTAATAAGTTATTTGTTTTCTAATTGCAGGAGGTTCTGTTCTGCTAATAGCTTCTCTCAACTCTCCATGAAGAATACTGATACTCTGGAATGGTATGCCATGCGTCTTCGAATACAAACAGGTATTTTCTTGCCATCAACATATAAAAGTTTGGTGGCATTGAATTCATCTTCCATATGTTCTTCAATGTATAGTTTACTCTGAAGATGAAAGCAACATTAGCCAATAGGAGTTAGGTGAAATGATTTCTCCAAGGTTCTGTAGAGCAACATCCATTGTATTTTATGGTACAACTTTGTTTTCTTTCTTCAGAAGAATGAGTATTAGCGATCAATTTATCATTAATTTAGATTTTTAAGTATTTTATTAACGTTTATGAGCTTCATTACTGCCATTATAAGTCTATAGTTTAAATTTGCTAAATTTTGCATTTGAATCATGGAAATTTTGTCATGTTTGAATAGGAAATCCATCATAGAAGTCAAAATATGAGAGGGCGTAGCTAAAATATGCATCGTTTGCTATTTATATTTGATAAGAGTTGGGATGACTTTATAATCAAGTGGTAATAAACAACAATTTAGTTTAACAGGACGTCTTTGCTAGGTACTTGGAAAAATATTTGCTCTAGATTATTTCTGATCGTTGGAGTTGAGGTGTCACGATGCATGCGTCATAGATCCCTACACAACAATAGCTGAATAGAAAATTGTCTTCTTAGCTCATACAGTGTCGAATTGCATCAAGATTTGTATCAGTCTTTTGATCATGCTTGATGAAATATGTCCATTTCAGATCATCTATAACACTGATCTTAAGAACATTGATGTAGATATGATGAACTAAATGACATAATTTGGTATGCACTGAGAGTTATGACACTCATTGTCAGGCTGAGGTTCTGTTAGGCCAGCCCCTCTTGGGCCGGTTGAACCGGTCCCTAGTGGACCGGTTTACACCAACAGCCGGCGACCCAAGGTGCTGGGCGGAATCAGGAAACGGAGAGAGAGGGGGCCGGCTGCTACTATGGGGCCCACATGCTAATTAAACTTGCTTTGGAGGGAAAATTTTGAATTAAGGGACTATTTAGGGAATTTGTAATTTTCCTTTGTCTTTAATTAGTTAGTTTGGGAGGTTTAGGATTTCATCTTGAATTTGAATTAGAAATTTGAGATCTCGTGTGCTTGGGCTCTTGTCTCTTGGCTAGAGATTTGGAGAGTCGTTTCTTCCTCTCGAATTGAAGAGACATGTATCTTTTGATATTTTTCTGCATTTATTAGTGGAATCCTTCATTGTTTTCTCAGATTTTCACAGTTTTCTCAACGTTGCTGCTATCCGGTTGCTGTTTTCTTCTGAAAACAGCATTTTTTTGCTTTTGGGTACGTGTTTTCTATCAGGTTCTCCCACCTCCTCTACCATCATGCAGCTCCAAGCATCCCCTACTCTTTCATTCAATCTAGAAATATCTATTACCATCTTTTCTACTTTTTCTTAATATCATTTCCTCTTGTATTGACATCAGCTTTCTGAAGAATAGCATCATTTCCTTCTCAAAGCTAGTTGTTATATGGGAGGGATCAACAGTAGTTCTCAAAAATTGCTTGGAAGTTTTCTGGTAAAAAATCTCTTGAGCTTATCTCTGCATAATTTCTTTTGAGTTGTTACAACAATATATCCTTAACCTGAGAGGCCAGGGGAAGAAGATCATCCATGAAAGCAAAGATCATCATATTTTATCCAAATCATCTTCCATTACAACATCTTTGCTAGAAACAACCATTTCATCTTTCCTTTGAAAGAAAGTCATCAACGATTAGAATCTCAACCTTCTCGTCCACAATATGATCTATAGGAATTCTGAAAGCTCCTTCAAATGATTCTAGAGACTATGAAGAAGTTTGCTTGATCTCACTTCATATTACTTTATATGTTTTGAAATGGGGAGAAATTATAATCCTTAAAAGTTGCGTAATATCAAGATTAGATCTCAACCTTGTACTAGTCATGACAGCCTTAGCAACCATGTTAAATCTAAAAAAACTCATCACTCAATGCTCAAGAGAAATTCGCATAAGGAGAAATCCTTCGTAGAATAAGGTTTCGTTTGTGACAGCTTTCTTATTGTTTTATAAAGCTATTTTTTAGTTAAAAAATTTCTTGAAAGCAGAGAAAAAAGAATGATCTAAAGCTATCCCAAACAAAGCCTTTGTCATGGGAATGATTGGGAGTATTTCAGCTTAGGATCAAAATGTGAAGTCAATTCATCAAATATAGATCACAATTCCTACACATTTATTAAGTAAATCGATGTTATATCAAATTTCATAATAATATGAGGATCATGCATCAAAATTGTAAAATTTACGTCCATCTAACACTTATATTTCAAAAATAGTTATTAAATTTCAACAGAAAAGTATTATGAACTATGATTACAAGGCTACAAATATGTGGGGACTCTTCTCATAACTACTAGGTCACTCATTCTCTTTATTTTCTCTTCTACTATTTAATGAACAGTTGTATACACCAATAACAGGCCACAGTAGAGTTTTTGTCCAGTATATATGCTAATAAGAATTTAAGCTAAGGATTTATTGACTAAGTAGTTTTTCGTATTTAACGAAAAATAATAATGAAAAAGAAAAAAAATGCACTTTGTGCTTAATTTAGTGATAATTATCCTGTGCTTCATTTCTTGGTAAATTATCTACTATAATTTTTAATTAGATTTAAGAAATATATATAATAATGCTTATATTCTCCATCATAATTTGATGACTGTAATTAATATATTTGTAGAGCAATTGGTTCATCTTTGTGGGAAACAATACAACAACAAAAACAATAACATCAAGCATTTATCTTAATACGTGGGGTTGATTACATGAATCATTTTTCACCATTTTGCTATGTTAAAAGTTAAATTATCATTTAAATCTAATAAAGAAATGTCATTTCTTATATTTTATAACCTAATTTTTTTAGGTCTACCTCTATCTTCTTAACATAAGTCAAATCTGATACATCTATTTTTCTAACCGGTTCATCGGAAGGCTGTCGTTTTATGTGACCAAACCACCTAAGACGACTCTCTCTAATCTTATCTTCCACTAGAGCTACTCCAACCTTTTCACTTATATGCTCATTTTGTATCATTTCTTTAAGAGTAAAGCCATTCATCCACCTGAGAATCCTCATCTTTGCAACACTTAACCTAATATTATGCTTCTCTTTTCATGGTCAACATTCTGCACCATAAAGCTTTGTAGGTCTAATCACCATCTTATAGAATTTTCCCTTATATTTGAGGGGGACTTTTCTATCACAGAACAAGCCCGATGCATTCCTCCACTTCAACTATTCAACTTGAACTCAACTAATAATAGCCCCATCTATTTCACCATCACTCTGAATAATAGATCAAGATATCTAAAATGTGTACTCTTATTAATGACTTGATCACCCAAAGTCATAATACCCCCACAAGAACTATTATTACTAAAATTGCACTCTATATATTTAGTTTTAGATCTACTCAAACGAAAGCTTTTAGACTCTAAAGTTGGCCTCCATAATTCAAGTTTACCTTCAACTCCCTTTCTAGTCTTATCAACAAGAAGAATATCATAAGAAAAAAATCATACACCAGGGTACAACCTCTTGCAAATGTCTAGTATGAACATCCATGAATTAAGCAAAAAGATATGGGCTTAAGGCTGATCTTTGATGTAATTCAACTGAAATAGGAAAATACTTGGTCAAACCGCCTTGTGTTTGAACACAAGTAACAACTCATGCTTACATATCCTGAATGACTTGAATATAAGCATTTTTAACCCCTTTCTTTTCTAGAACTCTCCGTAGCACTTCTCTTGGAACTTTATCATATGCTTTCTCTAAATCAATAAATATCATATATACATACTCTTTATTCTCTCTATACTTATTCATCAAATCTCTCAATAATTCTATAGCTTCATAGTAGACCTACCCAACATGATTCCAAATTGATTTTGAGAAACATTAGTATCACGCCGCAATCTATGATCCATATCTCTCTCCAATAATTTTAAAGTATGTCACTTTAACTTAATTCTTCTATAATTCAATCTTATGCATCACATTTATTCTTAAAAATAGGAATCAACGCACTCATTCTTCATTCATCTGACATCTTTTTAGTATTCAAAATAATATTAAAAATTTTAGTAAGCCAATAAATTCCTTCATCTCCTAAGCATTTCACACCTCTATCATATATATATATATATATGTTTCATCCTCCTTATTATCTAATATATAATATAAATCATTGAAAGCTAAAATCTTTGTATAGCATATTACTATCTTAGACTCCTTACATGCCTTTTTATACATTTCTCAATTATCAGAATTTTTACATCTTCAATACTCAACTTAAAATTATGCTTCTCTTTTCATGGTTAAGCACCATAAAGCTTTGTAGGTCGAATCACTATCTTACAGAATTTTCCCTTAAGTTTGATAGGGACTTTTGTTATCACACAACACGTCCGATGCATTCCTCCACTTAAACCATTCAACTTGAACTCTATTAATAATATCCACATCTATTTCACCATCTAAAATGTGTACTCTTATTAACAACTTGATCACTCAAAAGATCTAAGATATCTAAAATGTGTACTCTTATTAACGACTTGATCACTCAAAATCACAATCCTCCCACAAAAGAACAACTATTACTAAAATTGCACTATATATATTCAGTTTTAGATCTACTCAAACGAAAGCTTTTAGACTCTAAGGTTGACCAAGTTTACCTTCAACCCCCTTTATAGTCTTATCAACAAGAAGAATATCATCAACAAAAAGCATACAATAGGGTACAACCTCTTGCAAATGTCTAGTAAGAACATCCATGACTTCAACAGAAAGATATGGGCTTAAGGCTGATCCTTGATGTAATCCAACTGAAATAGGAAAATACTTGGTCAAACCACCTGATGTCTGAACATAAGTAACAACTCCTACTTACATATCATGAATGACTTGAATATAAGCATTATTAATCTCTTTTTTTTCTAGAACTCTATGTAGCACTTCTCTTGAAACTTTATCATATGCTTTCTCTAAATCAATAAATATTATACGTAGTTCCTCCTTATTCTCTCTATACTTCTTCATCAAACCTCTAAATAAATGTATAGCTTCATAGTAGACCTACCCAACATGAATCCAAATTGATTTTGAGAAACATTAATAGCACACTGCAATCTATATTCCATAACTCTCTCCCATAGTTTTAAAGTATGTCACATTAATTTTATTCTTCTATAATTCGCACGATCTTATGCATCACATTTATCCCTCAGTATCCAATATATTATATAAATCATTAAAAGCTAAAATCTTTGTATCGCATATTACTTTCTTATACTTCTTATAGGCCTTTTTATACATTTCTGAATTATCAGAAATTTACATCTTAATATTGTTTTATAATAAATCTTCTTATTTTTATTTTTTCTTTCACATTTTGATTCCACCACCAACTATTTTTACTATTAGGAGTTTTTCTCTTTAATACTCCAAAAAGATCTTTTGTAATATTTTTAATATCACTAGTTATTTTTTTCCATATAACATTAATTTACATGTTCACAAATAAAATCTTAAGATTTAGTATGTTACTCTCAAAAATATTTTTGTTAATCTTTTTTAAATGCCCCCATCTAATCCTAAAATAATATTTTACTTTATTTTTTATTTTCTGTCCCTTTATCATAAAGTCCAAAACTAATAAGTGATATTAGGTAAATAGACTTTCACTTGGAATAACTTTATAATCTTTGTAATTTAAACGATCTATTTTTCTTATAAGAAAATAATCAATTTGAGTTTTACTATATTTTGTACAGTCATGGCTTTTCTGTTCTGTCTTTCTTTCTGTTCAAAAGCCATGTACTGTATTTGTAGATGATTGTTTTGAGGAAAAGAAAAATATAGATGTTTTGTCCCGCTGCATTTGGTGACTTATAGTAGCTCTGTTGTTCTGTGTTTGTGTGTTGTTTTGAGTTAAATATTTGGAAGATTCAGTTCAGAACCAAACTCCAAAGCCAGAACCTGGATAAAAGGTTTTGTCGCGGCCCGGTGCGAGCGGGATCCGTCCCGGATCGGGTCGGGTCGTGACATCTAATCCTAAAATAATATTTTATTTTATTTTTTAGTTTCTGTCCCTTCATCATAAAGTCCAAAACGAATAAGTGATATTGGGTACATAAACTTTCACTTGGAATAACTTTACAATCTTTGTAATTTAAACGATCTATTTTCCTTATAAGAAAATAATCAATTTGAGTTTTATTATATCTATTCTTATAAATGATGAGATGCTCATTTATTTTCTTAAATAAGATATTAGAAATTACAAAATTATAAGCTAAAGAAAAATTTAATGTGATATTTTCATCTTTATTAGTCACTCCAAATTCATTACCACCATGAATGTTTTTAAAATCAACTACATCTCTACCAACATGTCCATTTAAACCTCCTCTAATAATTTTTTTTTCTTCTAGAGGTATCATTTGTATTAATTATTTTAAGTCATTTCAAAATTTTAATTTTGAATCTATATCAAAATCTATTTGAGGAGCATAAGCACTTATAATATTAATAATCTTATTATCAACAACAATCTTCAAACCTATAATTATATCTCTATTTCTATTAATTTTTACAACATTATCCTTTAAACTCTTATCTATAATCATACATATATCATTTCTAATATAGCTTTTATCAGAATATCATAGTTTAAATTCTAAACTATCAATCTCCATAGTCTTCTCTCTAACTCGTTTAGTTTCCTGATTGCGTAGAATATTTATTTTCTTATAAATCATAATCTCTATTAATTTCATTAATTTGCTTCTAAGGATATCTTTATTCCAAGTTCTAATCCTAATTTTAGTTTTATGGAATAGCTTATTTGTCCACATCCGTCCATGACGCGAGAACCCTTGCTTATTTAACAATGCATCCGAGCATCGGTGTAGCGACCCATGCACACTAGGCATTGTATTCATGCCATAGAACACGTCGTTTTCAGGGAACGTCCTAATGCAACATCCCCTTTTTTCTTTCATGACTTGGGACTTGACAATGACAGTGTTATTATAAGATATTATCCGTCATAAGCTATTATCAGACATAGGTGCTGTTATAAGGATAATTTAACATTAATTTTAGCTGTTAAAATAAATAAGTTTGTATTATTAACTATTAACAGTTGAACTGAACGTGTACAACAGCAGCTGGCTTCCATAGAGAGTTTTCGTGCAGCACATAATTGAAGCTGATAAGAGGAGCTTTTCTTTCTGCAAATGTCTTTAAGCTATAAGAAAAAATAATTACTTATTCACTAACTAATAATTAATATCTGGTTTATTAGCTGTATCATACTTATTTTGTTTGACAATTGGATTAATTAAAGTTAAAAATATAGATTTTTTTTAAATAAATTGGCCAAATAGCGACAAAAAAATTGATAATTTTGATATAAATTTGGTGAGATTTGGATTGAAATCTGACATTGAAGAGTGAATTAGAGGGATCCATTTGTCATTTGAGGAAGATATTTGGTTGGAATATTTGGCAGAGTACTATAGATAGTCTTAGTATTTATAATGCATATATATTTTCATACCTAATAGTGAGAACACATATGGCTGACATTGTCACGTTTAGATTGTCAAAGGACCCATATTTATGGGGATCCACCAATCTGATCATTTGTGGGTCCCTTTTTTAATGGGCCCATAATATTGAATTCCTCGACCAACCAAGAATTATAATTTTCTCATATTGGGACTGTTTTTTTATTGCTTCTTAAAATAGAATATTAGTATAAAAAAATTAATTTTTGTACTAAAATTCTAATTTAAGAATCCATAAAAAAGCTATCACAAACTAAAACTTTGTTTGCGACGGCTTTTTTACTGCTTCTTAAAACAGCTTTTTAGTACAAAAATTGAAATTTTAATTTTTGTACTTGAAAGTTGTTTTAAAAAGCAGCAAAAAAGCCGTGCCAACCGAAGCCTGTCTTAGACTTCATTTTGAACGATTTTTTTACTACTTAACTAAAGTAATTTTTAGTTTTTTTTTTTTTTAATTTTGTACAAAAAAAATACTTTAAGCAGTAAAAAAGACTCCCAAACAAAGCCTTAATTTATGATGGACCAAATGCTGATAAATAAGTAAATCAGTGTCATTTAGAACTACCATTTCTGTATTCACTTTACTATGAAGTTACTGTATTCATTCGGTTTACTATGAAGTCATAAACTAAACCTGAATGAGCTTATTACCAGGAATTCTTCACAGTAAGAAATATAACCTCCAAGTTGCCAAAAGATCAAAGAAAGTAAGCACAATTCTTCAAGAACATAAATTCACCACCAATTTGTTCTTTTTTTTAATTTCTCATCATCATAGTGCATACACATCAATCTCAAAAACAAAAAAAGATTGAAAAGGAATCAACTTTCATCAAACAAGAACTGAATAAACAAACATGCTACACAGATCGAAGAAATAATTAAAATCTGATCTCAGATACACAATTTACAAACTGCGGAGGATTGTTTAAGAATCTAGAGTCCCAAACATCATTAACTGCGATCTGAGCTCTCCCAAACCTCAACGCAGCACTCTCCGCTCCTTGCGACGGCCATTCTTTTACCTCCAAAAACCATCTGCAAGATCCTCGCTCCACCCATATCCTTCTCCCTCCCCATCAGATTCCTCCGCATCACCTTCTCCTCAAACTCTGGCGCTGCCGCCATCGCCACCTCGCTCCACATCTCTATATCCCCTCCCCTGCTGCAAAACACCTGCCTTCCTTCGCTCTCAATCCTGCACGCCTTCCCTTCGTTCTTCCCACCATTCCATCTCCCTCCACCAAGCCGAAACCATGGCTCCCCTGCTTCTAATTTCCTCAAATCCGCCATGAACACATCTCCAGAGTTCGCTCCAACCTTAAACAATGCGGATAGGTCGTCGGAGACTGTGACATCCGCAAAGCAGTCATCTTTCTCATTCAGATTGAAAATAGCAGTCGGGGTACCGCCGGCACGGACATCCCATAGCTGGATGTTACCAACAACACCGGAAGGGCCCCAGTGCGAACCTGCCGTCATGAGGAGATTGAGAGATGGAACCCATTTGAGCTTTGTTGCAGGAATAGCTGAATCGAGCTCAGCGCCAAAGATCTCGCGGCGAGAGATTTCGTAAACAGGGCGGAAATCACCGCCTGAGTTGAGGTCAAAGGCAAGTATGGCGCTAGAGTTACGACGGCCGGATTCGTAGCTGGAGAAAAGGAGTTGACGGTCGGCGGCTTCGCAAACGGCTTGGACGGTGGCGCCGGGGGCAGAGGGGTGGGGGTGCCAGTTCAGGGTTTTGACGAGAGTGCCGGAACTGAGGTCGAGGATTTGGAGGCCGGGGAAATCGGCGGCGCCGGCGAAGGCAAGCGAAGAGTTGCGGAGGGAAAGGAGGGAGTCGACGGCGGGAAGGGAGGTTAAGATAGTCTTGCGACGGCGCAGGGAGAAGTCGAAAGATGAGATCTTGGAGCCGTGGGCGGCGAGGAGTTCACCGGAAGGGGAAGCGGAGAGGACGGCGACAGGGTCTCGGCCAGGGAGTGGGAGCAGAAGAGAGCGGCGGAGAGAGAGGGAGGACGAGGATGAGGAAGACGAATGAAGGACGCGGGGATCGATGCCGTAGAACTCGGCCTCAGCTGCAAGGTCCGAGATGTCGTCTGTGGCTGCAGAGGAGGGGAGTCGGCCGGTGCGGAGGAGGGCAAGGAGTGAAGCGAAGAGATCGGGATCCCGGTCGATGAAGGAAGGAGGGGCAGAGAGAAGGGAAGATGATCCCGCAGCCGCTAGGGTTTGTGCAGTAGTTTGGAAGACACGTCCGCCGACGTTAAGGGTTACGATGGAGGTTTCCGGTGGCTTATAAGGGCAGAGGAGAGCTGTGGTAGCCGCGCCGGCGAAGGGTGGCATCGTTCAAAAAACTTTGCCTTGTTTCTAAAATCAAATTTTGCAGATGGAGGAGAAGGAATGGCAAACCCTAGCTTTTATGTGAGGAGGATGACAAACGGATTGGGGAAGGGACGGCCGGTCAAATTGTGTGGACGGCTTGACTCAGTCGGAAAGATTGATGGATGCTTCCCAGTAAGTCTAGAAGACGATTAAGCTCTTCATCAATTATAATTATTTTTTCCTCACAATTATAATTATTTTTTAATGCAAAATCATAGTAGTCATAAATTTTAATATTATTTTATGTATTTCATATTTTATCAAATTTTACTATTACATACACACTAATTAATTAAATTAATATGAGAAATTTTTTATTTGCTCGATCACAAATCTTCAAATAGAACACTGCACTCGCTCTTGATATATGGAAAAATTATTCTGTGCAGACTTAGGACGGAATCTAGGAGGCCAACTAGAACACTTCATATTGTTTTTTTGCTCTGTACTGAGTGACATATTCTTGTTTTTCTCTGAATCTCCTGGTGTCAGCATAGGATAATTTCTCTGATATATGAGGGTCAATTCAACTGTATTGTATTATAGTGCTTGACCGTAATTGATTATCAAAGTTCTTCTTTACGATGCTATAGTTATCGTGATTGCATATTTGTACTCAACATAATACTATAAAATATGTTAATTACTTTTATTTAAATGTTATTTGATACATCTTTCTTTTTGCTTTAAGAAGCAATTTTTTAGTAAAAAAAATTTTAATTCAAAAAGATTTATGTACTAAAAAAATTGCTTCATAAAATAATAAAAAAAATGTCCCAAATAAAATTTTAATGTAATGTAATTGATACTCTTAAGCTATTTATACAAGAAATAAAATATAGATATATTTCTACAATTTAGGATATTATGAGGTAGGTAAATTTAATTTGTTTAAATTTATTCTAATATAATTTATAATTGATATAAAAATTTTCTCTTTATTGTAATTATTTTCTTGTGTTGACTAATTATTAGATCCAAGCGTGTTCAACGTGGTCTCCCTTTGACCAGATATACGCATGGACACCTTTTTTTTTTTTTTTACTAAATTTTCAAATGTCGACTCTGTTTGACTTCTCTTCAAGAGACGAATAAAATAAAAATATTAAAATTTAATTTATTTTTTATTTTCATTACTATGCCACTTAGCATTTGTGTAATTATTATGCAATAGAAATTATCTTCAGTGCTAATGATATTTATTTTAGATATATTAACTATTTTATTAATTTTAATTAATTAAAAATCTCTAAAAGAGGGTCTTAATTGCCGATTGGGAAACAACAGAGGTCCATAACTTTATTTTCTAATAAGATATTTTATTTTTTTAAGTACTTAGAATTCATACATATTTCAAATATAATTCGTATTTCATAAAAAAATATATTGGTTGGACACAAATCTCGATGCAAATATGAATCAGAAATTTTTAAAATCAAATCTAGGACCATTCAAACTTCAATTTCAATAAATTTATAGTCAGACATAATGTCTTGAAGAGACAAACCCAACGACACAAAAATCAGTCCAATTCGAACCCGAATGTATTCAAATCTAGGACCCGAAGCCTATTTGAAAATTTCAAAACACTAATTGGATGATCAAATGATATTCATTTATAACATTCTTATATTCAAATCGAGTGGCTCGATGAGATGAATCCAGCAAGATCATGATCGCCGAATTTTGACATTATTAAGATACTCAAATGCTTGATAAAAGATTCATGATTGGGGGAGTTGATATCGGCCGCTCATTAAAACATTTCCAACATGCCCTTGATCTTTTCCCTATTTACTAGCAATAGCACTTCCAAAAAATTATAAATAGATCTCTCATTCTTCACCAAGAGGGGAGAGAAAGAGGAGAAGAGCTCTGGAACTTGAAGAATCATGAAGCTCCACTTAGATATTATCGCCGACGAATCTACGCCACCAGGCCACCTTTGATGAATCTCTGAGTGACAATGATTGTTTAACCTCCATATGGAAGCCACAAACGGTCCTTCCGACCATCGTCGCCCGATACGATTCTTTAGGCCTTAGTCGCCCACCAACTAGCATTTCGACAAACGTCGTCAAACTACGGTCATTCAGACCACCATCGTCCAACTACTATCCATTCGATCGTTGTCGCCTGACTACGATCCTTCTGATCTCAGTCGCCCGCTGACTACAGTTCTTCTGATCAGCGTCACACGACTACGGTCTTTTCGATCTCAGCACCAGCCGACTACGATTCTTCTGACCATTGTCGCCCGAATACAATCCTTAAGACCTTAGTTGCCCGCCAACTACGATCATTTCAATCACGGTCGCCCGACTACAATTCTTTCAACCACTATCGCTTAACTATTATCTTTTATGATCTCAGTCGCCCACTAATTAGAATCCTTCAGACCACTGTTGCTCAACTATGATCATTCCGAGCAAACTATAGTCTTTCCAACCACCGTCGACCGACTACAATTCTTTTGACCTCCGTCGTCCGCCACCTATGATTCCTCTGACCACCGTCGCTCGCCGATTTCACCATTGCCCGCCAACTATGGTCCTACTGACCAAACAAACATGTCAACGCTGTCTTAAGAACTACTCCCATGTAATGAGTTATATACAATGTGTATTTACTATATTGAACCAAGGCCTATCCCAAGGAAAGGACATCATTTGCAATCAACCATCAATACTAGTGGATTCTTTCAAATTGGGTCATGCTCCATGATTTTTCTCACTTTTCAGGATTTTTCACGTAAAAATTTTGGGGTCTCTTATGAATACTGCACCCTTTTCTTTTATTTGTTTGTATGATGGATCTTCGTTCAAAGCTAAGACGTTAAGCTCTATATCTCTTTATCGCCGTGAATGTTCCAAACGCAACAATAATATAAATTAATAACAGTATATTTAATTTTTTTACTATTAATTTATAGATTATGTAATAAATTTATCTTATATATTTGATTGACTGTATATTGAAAAATAGATTATGGAATGAAAAGGCCGACAATGGGAAAAGGCCGACAATGAGGATGGCATAATAATTTTGTGAATTAATTATATATTATTTCACTCTAATTACCATAGTATCCATTATTTAGTCTCATAAACAATTCATTCGTTTTTGACCGCATCAGTCTGAAATCTTTCGTACACACCGAAATAAATAAATAACTAATATTGAGGACAGCTCACTTTGGGTTTGGCGGCTAAGATTTTATTTGGTTCATTTTTTTTTATTGCTTCTTAAAAGAAAATTTTTATTAAATAAATTAAAATTTTGTATTAAAAAACTATTTTAAGAAGAAATAAAAAATCCGTCCCAATTTCGTTTGGGGCTAACTACTTTTTAAAATTAGTTTTTAATAATTTTTTTTTAAAATTTTTTTATGAAAAACTGCTTTAAAAAACAGCAAGAAAGCATTAAAAATTTTTATATAAACTTTTACAGCTTTCTTACTACTTTCTAAATCAACTTTCTAGTATAAAAAGTTATTGAACGAGAAATTTTTATGCTAAAAAAATTGCTTTAGAAACTAATAAGAAAAACTGTCTCAAACGAAGCCTAAAAGAGTTTTATATAAAAAAAGGTTTAAATTTCAAAATATTCTCACGACTATTCTTTTATTGATCATTTTAGTCAGAATATATAAAGTTGCTCCAATTTAATTCCTCGACTATATAAAATGATCCAAAAAAATTATTTTGGGAATAAATTGGGATCAATTTTCTACTACAATTACAATACAAGAGATTATTTTGAATCAATTTTATGTAGCAGATAGATTAAAATAGGGTAGCATGATACTTTGTGACTATCTACTTGCTCTATTAAGAAGAAAAAAAAAACTTTGTGACTAAATTGATCAATAATCTGAGGACTAAAATTTTCTCTTGAAAAATAATATTTCTAAGCAGAGCCCTAAATGAGGTCTTGGTTGGGTACCCCACGCTCTGCGTTGGCGGGCTTTGCCCACCCACACCGACTTATGATGACTTTCCGGATGTCATACCCACCCACACCTACCCACTTTCCAAGCTTATTAAAAGCAGCCTGCCATAGAATAATGGCCTTGAGTTTTTTTGTCATTTTCTCTAACAGCAAACTTTCAAGCCACATATCAAAATTTATCATGGTCGTGACGTGGTTCAGTGTTGCGCACTATGTAGTAAGGATTATTAAAATATACTGCATGTATATGATGATTAGTAATGTAAATTGATTCTTCTCTGATGTTGAGTACCCACCCATACCCACCCACGAGGCTATCGGCGTACCCATACCAACCCATGCCCATTGGGGATAGGTGGGTACGTGGATGGGTGTGAATATGAGTACCCAATACAAGGCTCTGTTTCTAAGTCAAATACAGTTGTGGTTATTCTAACAATACTCACCCACGAGGCTATCGGCGTACCCATACCAACCCATGCCCATTGGGGATAGGTGGGTACGTGGGTGGGTGTGAATATGAGTACCCAATACAAAGCTCTGTTTCTAAGTCAAATACAGTTGTGGCTAGCTAGTGTGTTGGATTAATCCTTCACGTTACCATTTTGAACTGGACTTCTCAACCACCAGAGATATAAGAGTTTTAATATTTTAAGAATTTTTTTTTAAATCGATTGTTGATTCTTTATTCTATTGTAATTTATTGTCCTGCTCTTATATCAAAGCATTATTTTATTTAATGATTAAAACGGCCATTAATATTAAAGAAATGAGTCGTAATACCTAATAGAAAATTCACTGACAGATAAATAGACAAATGAAAATAGCATAGAAGATATTAGAATTTTTATGAAATATATATATATATACAACAATGATACAATGATAATGCTTGGGCTACAACAATTAGATAATGGTGATCGGATGTCGGTGGTATACGTATGACAATAGTGATTCAGCGTCGACGATGGTTGAATGAAGATGGTCGAGCAACAACAATTCGAAGATGATGGCTAAGCACCGATAGTTCAACGGTGCCAATTGGGGCGGTAGTCAATGACAGTGGTTTGGTAACAGCAATCAAGCGATTGTTTAATGGCGGTGCTCAAGTGGAGCTTCGGAATTCTTCAAGCCTCTAAACTCTCTTAAAGCTCAGATCAATGATTTTTTTTTTTTTTATA